CTGGCTAGTTTAACGAATATACGACATCTAACTTAGCTCTGCAAATATATTATCTTTCGCCGCGAATTCGCCTAGATTGGCTTGGAGCGGCTCCACGCCGCGATTTTTGGCCTAAATAATCGCTATTTTCTTTTGTCCTTGATGGCCAATAGGTGTAAATTCTGGTGCGGGGAAATGAAGCATTTTTGACACGATGACAGCGATTCCGGGTGTGATATGTCAATTATGAAATCTGATTGGTTTACTGCTGTCACGTGCTTCACCTCCCACCAGAATCCACATCTATCAGTTTTTTACAACATGGTTAGTCAAAATGTTGAGTTTCAGTACCAAATACTAAACAATAGGATTTAACCTACGAAAAATAAGATGCGTCTTGGACACAGCAACTCTTGCCGAAACCACAGCAACCCAGAGAATCGCTGGTGTATGGAGCATTACAGCATGTGCTTTGAACGTCGCAACATCCGTGACCCGGGCAACACCTTTTGTCGTCGCTGCAGTAAGCGTAACGACCCCTGAAAAGTATGAACTGTTGCACTATTTACTTCAGATAAGGGAAAAGTATATTTGAAATGATAACACAGTTATAATACTAGTAAGCTGTGCTTTGCGGTTGCCCACCCACGAACACTTGTCCTACAAGAAATAAATTTTAGGGATACCTCTTAAATTGCATATTTATGCTTCGCCCTCAAATCGTGCATTCATGCACAATCGAACAAAGCACCGACATCATGATCAAGTGTTTTCAGAAAGGTCATGATATAATTTCTTTATTTTCCCCGACAATATTAAATTTAAAAGAACAAAAGGTGAAGTTGTTAAAACATAATAATAGTTAAGATAAATCGAAATTACCATACTTACCAATTGGTTTTAGATTCACAGTAGGTAGCAGAAGATAACCCAAGCAAGGCACAACAAATTATTACTGACATCATGGGTAGTCCGAAATCCCCAACCCGCATCGCTTTAACAATAACATATATCATAACCTCAAATAATAGCCAGATATTAAATCAGAATCCAACTTCACAATTACAATGAAATATTCTTATGTGCTGATTAAGTCCTCACCAAATGCGATGTGAGCACAGAAAAATCACATTATATTTAATATCAAAACACGGGTTATATTATATTATTAGCTAAAGAATAGGTCCGGTATTATATCGTGGAACCCGGTGTAATTATAGAAAGGCTCAATGTACGGATCAGGCTCGACTCTAGCCATAATTACTGGATACCAAACATGGGAAGATTACCAAAAGGCTACAATATTATAGTTACTAGCAGGAACCCGTCCAACCCTAAAATGGTGTCAAGACTCAAGAGACTAAAACAATTATTACCTATTTAATTCGCGTTTTTGACACCACTTGTGGTACCAAATTTTGGGCTCTAAAACTCCTATTTCTTGGCCAATTTTTTATTTTTTCATGCTGATTTGGAGGCCATTAAAGCATTTGACCCAGTCAAAAAAGTTTCAGTTGTATATCTTTGACGGTTTTTGCAGAAATTCGCGTTAAAGTTGATGCCATGGTGTCAGTAAAATGGCACGGATAAATATATATATATCGTCTCGCTTTATATATAGTAAGATATACCAATCGATCGATGAAATCGACAAATGGAACGCTTTCAAGAAAAGTGTTTCTGGTTAAATTAAAAAATAGAAGTCTACCTTGCCAGACACAAATGCTGCCTAGTATGGTAGATTTATATTTTGGGCAAATGCCATTAAGGCTAAGCTTTAGATATTTATCTAAAAACTCATGTCCAAGCGGGAGAACGATACTGATTTTTTTCAATTTACTGAAATCTAGGTAAACTATAGGTAAAAATATAATATTAATCATAAGCTAAAATGTACTAATCTTTGTATTCTAAATGGGGAAAAAGAAGAAACATTGTCAGTCAGTCGAGAAAATTGTCAGTCAGGCTATATGGCAGCTTTGTAGATGTTGTGACTATGCTAGTTATAGTGGTCCCAGGCTTGCGACTGGAATTGCGGTGTTAAATCGATTTAAGTGTCATTTTGATTTTTAACACAAAATTTGATTGAATACTATGAATAGTTAACTACTGGTGTCTGATTCGAGATACTGTTACTTCTACCTTACTGAAACTATTTCGCAGTTCCGGTTATCAAACGATTGGAGCTCATTTTAAAATATATGCGGTAAATCTGTTAAAGGAATAATAATTGACTTTAGCAACTGCTATATTTTAAAATGACTGCATTGACCATATTTTGGCATTATAAAATCAGTCGTCTTTAACGATTTTATTATTCTTATAGTTCAGCTCTCAGCAAGCTGTAAGAGTATAGGGCCTCTCATTGGCGGAATGATCGATGATTAGAATGTGGTCATATATACAGCTCTCGGCTGAATGTCACCTCGAAAGGGGCGTCTGCAAAAATGTGACAGAGCTTGGAAGATGGAAAATGCTTGCACATTTGAAAGCAGTTTCTGACTAGACATACCGTCATATGGGTCAAGTTGGATTGTTCCAAAAGACATTTGTTGTATCTCAGAACAATATAATCAGTTTTACCAAACCATGACCGAAGCGAAAAGTACGCCAAAGACCTTGAAGCGATAAGGAGAAACCCATGCAGAAAACGAATGAGACCTCTTCCTAAACAGTCTCAATGCCAATTGCCAAAGCTGCCTCTTTATGTAAGATAATGAAGCTTATGATTCGAAAAGGGTGTTATAGCTTTATAATTATAGCGTCGAAACATTTAAAAGAAGCAAACTTCTGATTTCTAAATGTCCATGAATATCCCAGCTACCAGGACTCCCTCCGGTCCAACCTCTCAGACAACCTTAAAAGCCTCATAATACTCAAAGAATATGGGGCCATCATGAACTCATTCCATGCAAAAGAATTTGGAAAGTACCTCACAGAATCCTCACACCTTCGAAATCCTCCTAAAAAGAATTCCTAGTCATCACTTCCCGTCTCCTAGTCCTACTCATACTTATTAATTCATCTCCATGACTTGTTTCCTTTTTATTGGCATTCCTAGAACACATTGCACAGCCTCCATTTTTTAATACTCGTTTTAAATTGTTATATTCTATTTTGTTTCTCTTTCGTGAAATTGTAACGTGGCTAATTTAAAAAATTTTGTTTTGTATAGCTTCCTCTCGATTTATTAGAGTTTTGATCATCTTTATGAATTAATGAATTACCAAAACGAGTTCGTTAGTGTTCTCCTTGTTCATTTTATGTTTGATTACTGTTTAATTCATATTTAATTCCTGTTTAATTCCTTTTTAATTCCTGTTTAATTCCTGTTTAATTCCTGTTTAATTCCTGTTTAATTCCTGTTTAATTCCTGTTTAATTCCTGTTTAATTCCTGTTTAATTCCTGTTTAATTCCTGTTTAATTTCTGTTTAATTCCTGTTTAATTCCATCGTCATCACCCGATTACATGAATAGAAAATGTGTAAATAAACTTTGAAACGAAACTAAATGAAATTAAAAACAATATTAACTATGCGGTTGCTCTAACTAGAGCCCTCTCGCTTGCAGTAGCTTCACGCAGTACGCGTATACACATTACACATGGCTATGTGAAACTATAATGCGGCAAAAACATTACATTTATACAGTTTAAACAAAATTAAATTCCTCCTTGTAATTTACGACGCAAAATTGCGACATTTGATTGTCAAAATGCATTAAAATTGCATATAAATTGACGAATGACGTCATGTCTAGTCAAAAACTCGATCCGGCGCAGTTTCGAGAACCCAAAAGATTACCAACAAGAACCTTGGACGGTGGTGATAATTTGCTCTACCAAGTATTTAGCGTTTTTATGGGATACTCAAAGCTATCAGTATCATTAATTATTTAAAGCTGCCAAACGTTGGCATCAGTATTACTGCAACTAAATCCTTAAAAACTCTGAAAACAGCAAGAAAACCTGGCAAATTATTAACGAACTAATTAAGAAGAAGAGACAGACCAAACCAGCATTTATCATTGATAACCAAAGAATAGATGATAGAAGATCAATCGCCCGCGCCAATGGATTCAATGCTCATGGTTTGCCTCTATTGCACCCAAGCGCAGCTGAATGAGACACTAAATGACCTATCTCATATTGGCCTGCCTATTATATTAGTCATGAAAACTTTCCATAACTTCCTAAATCCAAAACATGTTCGTTAATATTAATTTTATAGTTATAGTCAAGTTTAATCTAAGTTTGGCTTTATATAACTCAACATAAGTAATTTGATTTGAATAGATCCTAATCGCAAATTGAACATGGTTCATCAACTTCATTTATCTGGGAGTGGACTGAGCATCTTTATTCTTTATACCTGCAGGGACCCGTAATAAACATTATAATTATAATGTTTCAACGGAATGGCAGGCTCAGCGCCGCCCAGTATTATCAACTCTGCTCTCATTCAAAATTTGAATCCATGTATTTTTGAACGATGATTCCGAATCACCACACATGTTACCTGGGGACCTCAGGCTATTATGTTCATGAACATAATAGCCGAATAGAGATTAGGCGGAATGACAGGCTGAGCGCGGCCCAGTAACACACATGACATTGACATAGGATTAAAATGCTCCTCTGGTGTGCAGTGAGATATCGGCGAAAAACTGTCTCGATCACGTGATATGACCATATATAATTATAAGGAAGTTGGTATAATTTCTCGTTAGTGGTTAGGGTTTATATTTAGCATATGCTACCTAGTTAGGGATTGGGTTCCGGTTTATAGGGTTAGGGTTGGGGTCAGTGTAACTGTAGAGGCCAGATGGTTAGGGTTTCGAAAAGTCATTCAGGGTCACCTAGAGAACGTGTTAAAAAAGTCACCTGACAGTCGAGTGTAGAGTGATTAATCATCATCCACAATCCAAGATTTCGAATGAAGAATTCGTCAGAAAAAACGACTTAGGTTGTAACTTGTAAGTCTCACTCTGATTAATAGAATGGACAAAATAACGAAAAGAATAAAATTAAAATATAAACCGGCATTAATTCTTTTGTATTGGGTTATGATATTAATTATACTGGACTGGAAATGATGAAATCAGCATATTAATCACGATTAAAATAGTTTATCTTTGATCACAATATCTCATACAATCCCAAAACCTGTTTAGGAATAACGACTACAATCATTCGTGAACTCATTGGAGCATAAAATATTTTTTCGGACTAAGAAACGAAAAGACCAAAAGTGAAATGTGGCGGACTGGCTTATAAAAATAAAAATCACATGTTTACATGCGTGCAATTTTGGCAAATCATAGTCATACATTTAATATCGTGTCAGCCAACAATTCAATTTCATATCCATTTGAAAGATTTACTAAATTTTCAAATATCTAATACTTGGAATTTAAACTGGTTTTGACCAATCGATTTAAATCCGCAGAAAATTGTAAAAGATAATAATAAAATATTGAATACTTGGTATGTAAATTTACGAGTTTACTCGTTTTGACCAATCGATTCAAATTTGCAGAAAATTGTGAAAGATAAAATCGACTACCTAGCATATAAACTGGTACCGCGGTATCGTTACCGCGGTACCAGACGATGAGATCCTGTCAACTGAACAGGTTAAGCGATCATAAGATTTAAAATATCACGTAGTGTTGGGGTTCTCGACTCTCGTAGTCACTGGTTTGATCTGTTAACTTTCTCATATTGAACATAGTGAAAATATGTGAAATCAACACATTCGTAGTCATCCTCTCAAATGATTTTGTAAGGTAATAGTATAGTAGTATTAAAATTATCATAACTCAAAAACTACAGTACAAAAAATTAAATAATTTGAGTGAATGAACGCGACAGTGGTGCAGTTAATTAAAATATCACAAAGTTAATTCCTTAATTCATGTAATGTTTAACTGGAGGCGATCAACAAATCAAATCATCCGTCGATTCATATACTATTACTAAATGGCAATGCGCTGGTAGTGGTAATGGTATATTCAAATATAACATTAACAGGTAACCTGGTAAAGCGTTAAATATTGTCAATTTAAATAGTAGTCTATTTCCAATACTGCAATGCTGCATTATCAAATCAGCAACCAATCCACCAATATCTGAATATGTGTTTAAGGAACAAAGAAGTCGTCACGGGCACTGTTTGCGCACATCTTGCAGGTTTTGGGGCAGCTCCGTTGGGTGTAAGGGTACTTGTGACACACCCAGGTAAGAGCCCGACAAAACTTGAACGTGTCCTCACATGAAACTGAGTGAGAGGATATAATATATTTTATATATATATATATATTATAATTGGCCCCACAAGTAGGAAGTAAAATAAGGACCTCTGTTCAAATCAAAATAGATTCAAAATAGTCGGACAACTCAAAATAATAACAAAATCTGATTGGCAGTCACGCTGCACGTGACTGCCCGCACGTGACTGTGCGCGTCCAATGGACGTAATGAAGACGAACGTAATGCAGACGAATATCATATTTTTAAGTATAACTATAAGCATTTATGGACGATGGTTTGATCAATTTGAGATAATGCCTTTGAGGTCGTGGGTGTTCAACCTATTACTCTATTACATCATTGAACGTTGCTAAATTGTAAGAAATTAACCTTAATAACCCTTTTTTAAGAATTGATCTTGAATTCGGGGAATTCAAAGTAGTTCTAGATGGTTAGGTACACTGGTGGTATCTGGCAAATTTAGTTGTCAAACTACAGCACGTAAATCAGGCCGTTATTTAATGGTGATGACCAGCTCGCCAAACTATTACTTACATGTTCCACATCTACAAAGCCGTCTCTGGGTGAAATCTGGAGGAAACGCTGTGCAAGAGCCACCATATGACGGCACTGAATCCCACCCAATATAAGTTCCGTCAGCTTCAACTATCGGGTGGTACGGCTGAAAGTCAAGTTATAGTTATCGAGTAATTTAACGAATTATTATAAATTGATACCATCACAATCATCATAATCATCTGCAGATTTTCATACAATGGCGCAAACATTTGCGGTTAAAAACGCAATTCATTCATGGTACAGTCTTATCTTATCTTATCTTATCTTATGTGGATTCGTTGCGACGCAACAAGGCCATCGAATGAGTCGACCACCTTTGTTATTTTACTTCGGCATTACCAGCATTACAATGTAAGCCAGCACTTTCAAGGAAGAGCTTTACAAGAAGCCGAAGGATCGTTCCTAAGGCCAGCAACGGTTAAGGCACTATGCCACACTTTCTTCGCCCGAGGCTTCGCTGTGTTGATCAAGCACAGCTCCTCATTTAACCCTCACACCCGATTTCTCGAGCATTCGGCTGAGTGAACCGTGGGGCTACATAGACCACTCGGGATCCTTAGCAGAGCGTCAACGACGCTCACCCCACGACTAGGCAGGCAGTGGGATTCGAACTCGCAATCTTACGATTACAAATCCGATGATCAACCAACTACGCTACCTGGCAGTCGGCTACCTTATCGAACCTTATTTGGACGGACATTTATTGAACGCTCATGGAGGCCTTAACGTTCATCTTAATGTCCGTTCAAATAAAGTCCGTTCATTTAAGGTCCGTGATCCGTCCAAGTTAAAGTCCGTTGAATTTTTTTCAAAAATTCGAACTTTTTGTCCAGAATATGACAACTATGAGAACTTTATTGTGCCGTAAGTTAACGACGGAAAGGTTCTCCTTGGTCTGCCGGAGGCACAGAAAACTCTACTTGTATAATATGATGTTTTCAAGGGGCACTTTGCGGAAAAAGTCAACGAAATTATGGCACTCAACAACATAGTTCATGAGCTAGTCCCCGCCAACATTACAAACTTGTTCCAGCCTCTATATTACGGTAAATCGTGTTGCCAAGGATATTGTCTATTAGATGAGACTAAAGAGTTTCTCCAATATAAAATTGATTTATTATAGATTGCAACGGTCCTTAAGCGCTTGGTACATCGACTTTAATTTTATTTTAAGTCTATATAATTATCTGCACCCTGGAATTAAAAACTGCAAAATCTTACAGCTCCGGGAAATTATATTACCACAATGATATCGCAGTTCAGACTACGCAATATGTAATTCAACGAAAATAAATCCCATGGAAAAAGCGCTCTTGATGAATCGCTAATGAGAGCGGGAACTGGAAAAAGGACGGTCAAGCAAAACCCTTGCAAATCTGATCGAAGATATTCCCTTTAAGAGTTATACTCCCAAGCTTCCACACTGTAAAACACTAAATCATGTCGAGTCCTAAATAATGGTGATCAGTGCAGACCAAACAGCAAAGCCAAAAAAAAGAAAAGGGGGGACCCCCAACCCATGTAGGCGTAGCTGAGACACCTCACAGCAAGTAGACCAAAGTGGCTCTTGCTTGTGAAAGGTGTATCAACTCCCCGCTTGGTTCAGCTAGGCCTGATGGAGTTCTTTTCCAATTATTCAATTATACAGTTATATATAGTATAGCCTTCTGAAGCAGCCCACAAGTGAGCCAGAAAGGAGGTTAACTTATTTTATTCCAGCTGTTGTGAGCCTAATGATCATTATGAAAGTCTGGAAATAGAGATCAAGTTTCTAGCTGACTCATTGAAACTGAAAAGAAGTTGAAACTGGGATAAAAAACATTACACGAACGCCCAAAAAGATGAACCAATTGATATGAGCAACGTTTAAAATTGAACAGCGTTTTAACGTTGTATTTAATTTTAGATTGTATATGGAACTGGAAGTTCTTAAACGTTTTATAGGCCATCGTTGGTTAATTTTAAAGGTTAATTTTTAACGTTGAATTATTTCATGCACGAAAACCCATTTGATGAAGATGATATGCGATATTAAACACTGATCATGTACACTTCTTTAACATTTTTACTGCTAAAAATCATTTTCTGAAATAAAAAAATGTTTAAAAAAATGAAAAAAATTCGGATTTTTGATGGTTTTGAGTGCCTTCTAGGCTCTAGCGTTTATATTAATGTCCGTTCATAATTATGTCCTTCCATATAATGTCCGTCCAAATAAGGTCTGATAAGGTATTAAATGTTCCCCTATTAGCGAAGTTTGCCGACTCCACTACAAGTTATTAAGTTATTACGTCATTGGAGTCATAAAGCTGCTCAAAGGAGGGGGACCAAATATAATTGTAAGTGATCAAACCTCAGACCAAATACCCTCCCAGATTGAGTAATGTCCTTCTGGAACCAGCTCGTAGAGGGCGTTTGCAGCGTCGTATAGGGATTCCTCCATAGTCGTCATACAGGAATCGTGACCTGAAGATATAAGACTAAGAGCTCTTTATTGAAATTACATTTATATCTAATAAAGATTGGGCTGGCATAGCCATATCAATATGCACTAATTGCAGTATGCTATAATATTAGTGCAATATACAGAAAATGTAAACATGAATCTCGCAATTAATATATGAGTGTTTATGTGATGCAGCTAAAGTTTGATAATTTTCAAAAGTCAACGTATTAATCTTAGATGCCTGATCGAATCAATCCGAATTGCGATCTAATATCAACGATTACTAATATCAACTAATACTAATATCATGATATGCAATTCCTAGAATTCCCTGCAATCCAAGTTTTTTATACCGGCATCGAAGCAAGTATTGAGACAGTTGTCACCGGGAGCAGACATGCAGTAAACTCCCTCAAGAGGGGGCACGTCATCGGGGATGGAGTTGCCACCATATTCGTACTCACTAACACCCAGACCCAAAAATAGGCAGGTTAAAATGACATGTCGAGGTAACTGTATCATATCTGTTGGTATAAATGTTTTGTATGTGAACTATTATTGGTTTGAGATCGCATGACAGGTTTCCCGACTTATGTCCGATCATGATTCGTGTTTTGAAGAATATGATAAGTGTAACCTGTTTTCAACAGTAAAAAAACGAGTTGTCAAAATCCTGAAAACGTTATACGTTTAAGAATTTAACAGCACCATAAATCATACAGCTTTGGAAATGGAAAGGTACATGTAGAGATGAAAATGTATCAGCCCTAAAAGGAATAATCACACAATGGATGTGGATACAACTACAAGTTCTAACATGACAAATAAAATTGGGCAACATCGAACAGATTTAGGAAGTACGTTGTACGTCAAACTACAAATCCTGATTTGGAACACAATCAATAAACAGCATATATTTCCGGTTAACACAGGCCCTGTATGCAGGAGATAGGCTAAACATGGTAAGACGAATCAAGAAATCATCCGTGAAGGTTAAACATACCGCACAATCAGGTCACTCATAATTAGATTCATAATTTGTCCCCCCGTGATTTATATATTTTTTCCTGATTTGATTTAGAACCCATTTGGTAATCCATGTAATGTTGTAATCCTGTAAAGCTGTAATCATGTTTTAGTCTAACGTCTTCGTACAAACTCCTCTAGGTCTGAATCTGTGCCATCTTCCCGGCTAAGTTAATACTGATGACAATTCGCAATTTTTATTACTTAAGTAATTCTCGGTACCGTATGTGACGTGAACATGGAAATTAACTTTGACTATGACAAATTGGTGAAAGTGTTTTTGCCTTTTTAGGGGTCGTTCACATATTACTGACTTACTTGACTTAAGGCGGCTTCAGCGTCCGAGTATTGATGCGCTGTCTCCATATAACTCTATCCGCCATAAGTCCGCCCATTTCTCCAGTGTCGTTGAGACCCGTGTCAGCTCGTAGGCTATCAACATAAGTCATGGCTGGGATCTCCCCCTACTCCGCACCCCATGAGTTGGTTCCCAGAGTAGCAAGCGGTTTGCGACTAGTTCTGGGTGCCGGTCAGGGACAAAAGGATTTCGCGGCATGTACGAAATCGCGAAATTTCCCATTCTCCGCGATAAATTTTATGTATAGTTTAATGTATAGCCTGTTAAATTTCGCGGTACCGCGATTTTTGGCCAAAATAATCGCGAAATCCTTTTGTCCCTGGTGCCGGTGGATATGGCCTGCTAGTCGCATCCTGCGCTCTTGGATCTTCATGGTTGCTCTCGGTAGGTTGCCATAGACTTCTTTGTTGGTTTTGCGTTTGCTTCCAATCCACATTTAGTGCCATCCTTAGCATTCTAGTGTAGCAGCCATCAATGCGTTTCTTCAATTGCTCTGTCAGTGTCAACGTCCATGTTTCAGAACCATAAACAAGTATTGACTCCACAGTAGCAACACATATTGCGTAATCACTTTTTGACCAATTTCTAACCCCTCGCCCTTCGTAATCAATTTTACACAGCTAATATTAATTTATAATGATACTGATAGTGTGTAAAAATTACGCGATCGTAATCATTTAGATACCCCTTCCCTCCCCTCAGTGATTACGCAATCTTTGAACGACCCCTTTATAGTTTATACTTATATAATACTTATATAATACTTAATAGGACAACTTCTCGACTTTTACTACCTGAAAAGGAGAAAAAGAAAAGATGTAAAATCTCAGCGACTCCAAGTGTTGAGATTGCCAGGCTGAAGCTGAGGGAATGTAGCATAAAATACCACTCAGATGCTACAGAAGACAACCGAATAGCTGTTCAAGAGGGCAAACAGAAGCTAGGCGATGCTTATCAAGCAGCCAAAGAGCACCTGCTGGAGGGGCAGGTCCGGGAACTGGAGGAAGCAAGTTGGCAGGGCAGACATGCTAAAAGCTGGACCATGATCAACAAGATCACAGGTAAAGCTCCATCATATACTGGCAAAATCAAGGGAAACTCACCAACGGAAAGGGTTCAGAAATGGAAGGACTATTTTGCTACTCTTCTCGGCTCACCACCGACGGTAGAGAACGCGGAAGAGGATATTGATCCAGTCCACCCACCTCTGAATATCGGAACAGAACCGTTTACGTTGGATGAGTACAGGAAAGCAAAGTCCAGCATAAAGGAAGGGAAAGCATGGGGTGACGACAACATAGCCCCAGAAGTCTTAAAACGATGCGACCTTGATCTAATTGTCTTAGACTTCTGTAACAATGCTCTATTGAAAGGTGAGAAACCAGACCAATGGTCAACTGCCAACATCATACCAATTCCAAAGAAGGGCGACCTTAGCGAACCAATGAACTATCGGGGAATAAGCTTGTCATCCCTAGTTGCCAAGTCTCTAAACAAGATGGTTCTAAACCGGTTGAAGCCAGAAATCGAGACAATTCTGCGTAGAAACCAGAATGGATTCAGACCAGGAAGGTCAACAACTCAACAGATATTGGTACTGAGACGTCTTATAGAGGGTGTCAAGAGTCGGAAACTGCCAGCTGTTCTGACATTTATAGACTTTAAGAAGGCTTTCGACAGTGTACATCGTGGGAAAATGCTAAAGATTCTAGAAGCTTACGGCATTCCAGTCAAAATCGTGCAGCTTATACGGCTCATGTACGAGAAGACAATGGCCAAAGTCCTAACTCCAGACGGAGAAACTGAATTGTTCGAGATACTTGCAGGTGTGTTACAGGGTGATACCTTAGCACCTTACCTCTTTGCAATAGTCATCGACTACTGTATGAGGCAAGCCATAGGCGATGATGCGGAGCGACTTGGACTCACCCTCGAACGTAGAAAAAGCAGAAGAGTGGGGCCCAAGATCATCACCGATGTGGACTTTGCAGATGATATAGCACTTATATCTGAGGACATGGACAAGGCTAACGAGTTCCTGCTCAGAGTAGAATCGGCGGCAGCAAGCGTGGGACTACACATAAACGAAGGCAAGACCAAGGTCATGACACTGAATATGGAGGATCGATCTAGCGACCTACAAAGTCGATCCGGGGAAGCCATAGAAAATGTAGATGATTTCATCTACTTAGGCTCCTGGATTGAGAGCACAGATAGGGAGATAAGGGTTAGAAAGGGAAAAGCGTGGGGTGCCCTACATAGACTGAAGGATATCTGGAAATCCAAACTGTCAAAGAGCCTAAAGATTAGATTGTTCATAGCGGCTTGTGAATCAGTACTGCTCTACGGATCAGAAACCTGGACACTGACAAAGGCTCAAGAGAAAAGTTTGGACGGGACATACACAAAGATGTTGCGTATGGTGCTGGGTATCTCATGGAAGGACAAGGTCAGCAATATAACTTTGTATGGTAGCCTCCCAAGGCTGTCAAACAAGTTACGAAGCAGGAGATTAAAAATGGCGGGACACTGCATCCGACATCCTGAGCTACTTGCCAGTGATTTAGTCTTATGGGAACCTACGCACGGTAGAGCACAGCAAGGCCGACCAAGACAAAGCTACTTGTCTATGTTACTGAAGGAAGTTGGGACAAACTCTAAAGAGGAACTGCGAACCCTGATGCGGGACAGGGATATATGGAGGGGGTTTTCTGGCGTAGATCGGACTTAGCTCCGACATAGTAGTAGTAGTAGTTATATAATATTATAGTATATGATCATCTTGATCAGACACGTACACTTTAAAGTTTAAAGTACAATTACATACACTTATCAAATTTTGTTAATGTTTTAATACTTTCAACACTACTATATAACAAATAATTTGAGGTATCGAATTATTACAAAGCAGTTGTTTAGTTTTTTTAAGAACTGACAATTTGTCATTTTGTCTTTCGGTCCTTGATCTTTGTAGCAGGGTGTTTAACATGGAAAAGATGGAGTTGGACCTGAAAAAGATGGAGGAACAATTGGAAAAGATAAACTGCACTTCACTGAAGTTTAAAGGTAAGAAAGATGATAAAGATAATAAGATTAAGATTACTATTGAATCCGCGTCTAGTGGGGACCTTTTAGGTTCATTTTCCAAACCAGACATGCTTGTCGTTATCCAGGATATTTACACTTTCTCCAAAAATGCTCTTCAACTAACAAAAACTGTTCTAGGAACAAAACAAGCCACAACTTCTACTAAACAGGAATCACCAAATTTCAAAGAAATTATAAAGACACAGCTCAAAGAGGTACTAGCAGAAGTACTCCCTACAATACTACCCGATTTATTGACTTCAGTGGTGGCAACACTACCCAAAGAAAAGAAGACTCAAGAAGAAACGAAGCTCACAGAAAAACACATTCTCACAGTGGAGAAAAAGACTGGGAGTTCTGAAGAACCCATTACAAAGGAGGATGAAAAGGAAATGAAAGGTTCCCTTAAAGTCAACCCAGTGAAGAACTACACAGTGTCCGGAAATACTGCAACTTTCAAGTTTGTGACCAGGGATCAACTCCAGAAAGCCGAGACAGTATTTAAATCTCAAGATAAATACAAAGTATCATCAAAATCCGAACCAGGAAAGAAGTTGGACCCCAAATTGTCTATTCGGAATATTCCCTCTGACATCACAAACAAGGAGACATTGCTAGAGAAACTTTTGGAAAAGAATGAAATACTGAAGTCCTCTTCTGGAAAAGACGATGCAGTAAAAGTGGTTTTCTTCGATGAGATTGAGAAATCGGCTGTCATCCGTGTCACTGCAGCAATGCGTGAGTTAATCAGACAAAACAGAGACTATATACACATTGACCTCAGGGAACACCATGTCACAGACCGAATTCATGTCATTCAATGTTATCATTGCCAGGAATTTGGTCACATGGCCAATTCCATGTACTGTAAAGCCAAAGATAAAGACCCAACATGTTTCTTCTGTGCAGGAAGCCACAAGTCGAAAGATTGTAATAACAAGAGTGAAAATAATGTAAAAAAGATAAAGTGCTCTAACTGCGCCAAAAGTAGTAAACACTCGGAGAAGAACTCAGCAAAGACCCATAAAGCCTCTGATAACCTATGTCCCTCGTATGTAAGAGAACGGACTGGAATAATGAATAGGACAGCAGGATGTGAGAATGCAAAAAACTGGTACATACAGAAGACAAAGGAGACCAAACTACGCCTAGGAAGAGTTTAAGGATTGGAACGTTCAATGTTAGATCCCTAGTGAACAAAACAGTCGGAGTGTTAGAGCATCTTCAAGAAGTTGATTGTGACATCTGTTTTGTACAAGAAACCTTCTTTCGTGATGGAAACACAGCTAAGATAAAGGAGATCAAAGACCTTGGTTGGAATATACTCTCGGATCCAAGAAAACACAGAGGAGGAGGAGGTATAGCTATGCTATTTCGTGATGTGCTCCAGTTAAAGTGTAATAGTAAGGTCATGAAGTACAAATCCTTCCAAGTGATGGAAGCACTGCTACAATCTCAACAAGATATTGTGAGACTTGTGAACTTGTATCGGCCTCCTTATACCAAGAAGGCTCGGTACACGGAGTGTGCCTTTTTAGAAGAATTCGAAGACTACCTTAAAGACCTCACAGTCAAACCTGGCTTCCCCATCATTACTGGAGATTTCAACTTTCACATGGAAAAGCCTGAAGAACACTACCCAAAGAAGCTCTACCAACTCCTGGAGGAGTATGATCTATACCAACACGTTCCCCTTGAACCAACCCATGACCAAGGTGGAACCCTAGATCTTGTAGTGACTAACCGATCCTTCAAGGAAAAACTGACTTCATTCGAAATCTGTCCCTCTAGAACCAAATCTGACCACTTCCTTGTCCTCTTCGATGCAGACATCAAGACAAAGACCAAAGAAGACGCAAAATTCATGAACTACAGAAACTTTAATTTAATTGATACAGAACAGTTTAAAGAAGATATTTTAATTTCAAAACTGACAAACTTCCCTAAAGACATGTCTCCGAATGATGCTGTTGTCCTTTACAACACCGTGCTCACTCAGTTAATGGATAAACACTATCCTTACATAAAGAAGAAGATTACTAAGAAGCCAATGCCTTGGTTAGACCTGGAACTTCGTATTCTCAGGCGAAAGAGAAGAACTGCTGAACGTGCGTGGAGAAAAGATAAAGTTGATGATATAGACAGTGCAAGATCTGAGTACCTGAGATCGGATTATGTTAAGCTAAGAGATGAGTTTTCCCGACTAGAGTTTGTCAAAAGATGCGCTCACCACAAAACCTCTCTTAGGTCCTCTTCAGGGGATACTAAAGCGTTGTACAAAAAAGTCAACAGGCTTTTAGGAAATGACACCCAAAACCTTCCAAACTACAAGGATCCTGTGAAACTGTCAGAAGATTTCAAAGATTTCTTCGCTGAAAAGGTTGCAACCATCAGACAAGCCATTGAGAAGGAAGGAAAAGACAAAGACAAAGACAAAGACAAAGACAAAGACAAAGACAAAGACAAAGACAAAGACAAAGACAAAGACAAAGACAAAGACAAAGACAAAGATATAAACAAAGACAAAGACAAAGATGTAAACAAAGACAAAGACAAAGACAAAGACAAAGACAAAGACAAAGACAAAGACAAAGACAAAGACAAAGACAAAGACAAAGACAAAGACAAAGACAAAGACAAAGATAAAGACAAAGACAAAGATATAGACAAAGACAAAGACAAAGACAAAGACAAAGACACAGACAAAGACAAAGACAAAGACAAAGACAAAGACAAAGATCCTGTTCTTGATAAAGACTGCATCTTTGATAATTTCTCTGAGATAACAGCTGATGAACTCAAAGACCTGGTATCAAAGATGTCCAACAAGTTCTGCTGCTTGGATCCGATCCCAGCATTTCTCTTAAAAAACTGTGTCGATGAACTAACACCTTTTTTACTTCATGTATTGAACTCATCCTTGAAGACTGGAGTCTTTCCCTCAGATATGAAGAAAGCAGTCATCAAACCGACTTTGAAGAAGGAAAATGCTGATGTTGATATTCTCAGTAACTATCGACCAGTGTCTAACCTTTCTGCCTTCTCTAAGATCCTAGAAAGAATTGTACTAAACCAGCTTAATGTCCATCTAACGAACCATACCCTTTACTCAAAAGTCCAATCTGGATATCGCCCTAATCATAGCTGTGAAACATTACTTGTTAGAATGTGTGATGATCTAAACAAAGAAATTGAAGCTGGGAATGTTGTTATAGTTGTACTTCTCGACTTAAGTGCAGCATTTGATACCATTGACCACACAGTCTTATTGGAAAAGCTTATGAAGGACTATGGAATTACTGGAAGTGCACTGCAATGGATAAAGTCCTACCTTGAGAAAAGACACTTCTGTGTTAAGATTGATGATACTCTTTCATCTTTCTTGGAGCTGCTGTTTGGAGTTCCCCAGGGATCACTCTTGGGGCCTATTCTATTCATCCTTTATATCAAAGCTCTCCAGAAAATTGCGGCCAAATATGGTCTTGATATACAGCTCTATGCAGATGATTCTCAACTGTACATCTCATTTAAACCAAACCGTGTGGTACAGTTCATTGATGTCCAAGACAGAACAAACAAATGTCTTGCAGAGATAAAAGCATGGATGGTGAACAACTACATGAAACTGAACGAAACAAAGACAGAACTACTGGTGTTAGGAAAGAGCCATGTTCTAAAAAAGTGTGAACTCAGTGTCAGACTGCAATTTGGAAGCACTGAAATTCTGCCTACGGAGTGTAAAGGAGACAGCTGGAAGAGTCTGGGTGTCAAATTTGATGAAACTCTAAATATGGAAAGACAGATCAATAATGTCAAAAGGAAATGCAGCTGGACAATGATGAATCTAAGAACCATTGGTCGTTACCTTGATGAAGGCATTAAATTGATGCTGGTGAAACAACTGGTCATATCTAAATTAGACTACTGTAATTCTCTTTACATGAATCTACCCAAGACCAGATTGAACAAACTTAGATCAACCCTTAATGGGGCAGTTCGTTTCATCTATAACATAGAAGAGAGGACCACGGACTTGGTTCCCTTCTATAAGAAGGCCCACATACTCCCTATAGACCAACGAATCTTCTTTAAAGTTTGTCTTTTAACCCACAAATCAGTTCACGGTACTGCACCTGATTACCTCAAAGCACTACTGGATGTGGATGTAGTGGATAAAGAACTCTCAAACACCATGACCATGACCAGGTCGAAGAGACCTGATGACCATCTCATGCTCAAGGTACCAAAGAATAAAAGATCCAAAGTTGATGACAGACGTTTCTCAAGCCATGCACCGATTGCATGGAACTCTCTTCCCCTGATGTTGAGATGTATCACTGATACCAACTGTTTCAAGCGAATGTTAAAGAATCATTTATATAATCAGTTCTGATGTTTTTCTTTCCATTGTCTTCACTTTGCAAGACACATTGGCTTTTATTTTTTACCGCACTCCATTTTATGCCTTGATCTCTTACTTACTTGGATCTGATTCTTTCTTGATTGATTATGTCACTGTACTAACCTTTATTATACCTACATGTACTGTATGGTTTCTGCTTCTATTTAGTTTAGTGTGGTTTACAATAAAAGATGTTTTAATTTTGTCTTTGCCTTATGCTGAGTTATACTTTAGTTCATTTTTTACACTTTTGCTCAGATCACTCACAGTCAGCCGCTCTGACATGGTTAATCACCTTCCTTGTGTTGTTGGTTAATCATATGAGCGGGATATAAATACCTCATTTCATTTCATTTCATTTCATTTCATTACATTCAATGACTTATTATGATTGTAATAGACAGTTTTCCAGTTCCACTTATTTTTCTCAGTCAATATATAATTATCAGTCGTAGCGTAACCCGGCCCCTATGCCCTAGTTATCATAAACCGGAGGGAAGAATAAGATTGTTAGCGGAGGGAAATATTATTAACGGAGGGAAATATTATTAACGGAGGGAAATATTATTAATAGAGGGAACGATTATTAACGGAGGGAAAGATTATTAACGGAGAGAAAGATTATTAACAGAGGGAAAGATTATTAATAGAGGGAAAGATTATTAACCCGGAGGGAACGATTATTAACAATAACAGAGGGTAAGATTATTAACTGTAACAGAGGTTAAGATTATTAACGGAGGGAAATATTATAAACGGAGGGAAATATTATTAACGGAGGGAAATATTATTAACGGAGGGAAATATTATTAACGGAGGGAAATATTATTAACGGAGGGAAATATTATTAACGGAGGGAAATATTATTAACGGAGGGAAATATTATTAACGGAGGGAAATATTATCAACGGAGGGAAAGATTATTAATAGAGGGAAAGATTATTAATAGAGGGAAAGATTATTAATCCGGAGGGAACGATTATTAACAATAACAGAGGGTAAGATTACTAACTGTAAGTGTAACAGATGTTAAGATTATTAACGGAGGGAAATATTATTAACGGAGGGAAATATTATTAACGGAGGGAAATATTATTAACGGAGGGAAATATTATTAACGGAGGGAAATATTATTAACGGAGGGAAATATTATTAACGGAGGGAAATATTATCAACGGAGGGAAAGATTATTAATAGAGGGAAAGATTATTAATAGAGGGAAAGATTATTAATCCGGAGGGAACGATTATTAACAATAACAGAGGGTAAGATTACTAACTGTAAGTGTAACAGATGTTAAGATTATTAACGGAGGGAAATATTATAAACGGAGGAAAATATTATTAACAGAGGGAAATATTATTAACAGAGGGAAATATTATTAACGGAGGGAAATATTATTAACGGAGGGAAATATTATTAACAGAGGGAAAGATTATTAACGGATGGAAATATTATTCACGGAGGGAAATATTATTCACGGAGGGAAATATTATTAACGGAGGGAAATATTATTAACGAAGGGAAAGATTATTAACGGAGGGAAATATTATTAACGGAGGAAGGAGGGAAATATTATTATTGGAGGGAAATATCATTAACGGAGGGAACGATTATTAACGGAGGGAAATATGACTAACGGAGGGAAATATTATTAACGGAGGGAAATATTATTAACAGAGGGAAATATTATTAACGGAGGGAAAGATTATTAACGGAGGGAAATATTATTAACTGAGAATAAGATTATTAACGGAGGGAAAGATTATTAACCGTAACGGAGTGAAATATTATTAACTGAGAATAAGATTATTAACGGAGGGAAAGATTATTAACGGAGGGAAAGATTATTAACAGAGGGAAAGATTATTAATAGAGGGAAAGATTATTAACCCGGAGGGAACGATTATTAACAATAACAGAGGGTAAGATTATTAACTGTAACAGAGGTTAAGATTATTAACGGAGGGAAATATTATAAACGGAGGGAAATATTATTAACGGAGGGAAATATTATTAACGGAGGGAAATATTATTAACGGAGGGAAATATTATTAACGGAGGGAAATATTATTAACGGAGGGAAATATTATTAACGGAGGGAAATATTATTAACGGAGGGAAATATTATCAACGGAGGGAAAGATTATTAATAGAGGGAAAGATTATTAATAGAGGGAAAGATTATTAATCCGGAGGGAACGATTATTAACAATAACAGAGGGTAAGATTACCAACTGTAAGTGTAACAGATGTTAAGATTATTAACGGAGGGAAATATTATAAACGGAGGAAAATATTATTAACAGAGGGAAATATTATTAACAGAGGGAAATATTATTAACCGTAACGGAAGGAAATATTATTAACTGAGAATAAGATTATTAACGGAGGGAAAGATTATTAACCGTAACGGAGTGAAATATTATTAACTGAGAATAAGATTATTAACGGAGGGAAAGATTATTAACGGAGGGAAAGCTTATTAACGGAGGGAAAGATTATTAACAGAGGGAAAGATTATTAATAGAGGGAAAGATTATTAACCCGGAGGGAACGATTATTAACAATAACAGAGGGTAAGATTATTAACTGTAACAGAGGTTAAGATTATTAACGGAGGGAAATATTATAAACGGAGGGAAATATTATTAACGGAGGGAAATATTATTAACGGAGGGAAATATTATTAACGGAGGGAAATATTATTAACGGAGGGAAATATTATTAACGGAGGGAAATATTATTAACGGAGGGAAATATTATTAACGGAGGGAAATATTATCAACGGAGGGAAAGATTATTAATAGAGGGAAAGATTATTAATAGAGGGAAAGATTATTAATCCGGAGGGAACGATTATTAACAATAACAGAGGGTAAGATTACTAACTGTAAGTGTAACAGATGTTAAGATTATTAACGGAGGGAAATATTATAAACGGAGGAAAATATTATTAACAGAGGGAAATATTATTAACAGAGGGAAATATTATTAACGGAGGGAAATATTATTAACGGAGGGAAATATTATTAACAGAGGGAAAGATTATTAACGGATGGAAATATTATTCACGGAGGGAAATATTATTCACGGAGGGAAATATTATTAACGGAGGGAAATATTATTAACGAAGGGAAAGATTATTAACGGAGGGAAATATTATTAACGGAGGAAGGAGGGAAATATTATTATTGGAGGGAAATATCATTAACGGAGGGAACGATTATTAACGGAGGGAAATATGATTAACGGAGGGAAATATTATTAACGGAGGGAAATATTATTAACAGAGGGAAATATTATTAACGGAGGGAAAGATTATTAACGGAGGGAAATATTATTAACTGAGAATAAGATTATTAACGGAGGGAAAGATTATTAACCGTAACGGAGTGAAATATTATTAACGGAGGGAAAGATTATTAACGGAGAATAATATTATTAACGGAGGGAAAGATTATTAACGGAGGGAAAGAATTTAAGAATATTAACGGAGAATAATATTATTAACGGAGGGAAAGATTATTAACCGTAACGGAGTGAAATATTATTAACTGAGAATAATATTATTAACGGAGGGAAAGATTAGGGTGGAGGGAAAGAATTTAAGAATATTAACTGAGAATAATATTATTAACGGAGGGAAAGAATTTAAGAATATTAACGGAGAATAATATTATTAACGGAGGGAAAGATTATTAACGGAGAATAATATTATTAACGGAGGGAAAGATTATTAACGGAGAATAATATTATTAACGGAGGGAAAGATTATTAACGGAGGGAAAGAATTTAAGAATATTAACGGAGAATAATATTATTAACGGAGGGAAAGATTATTAACAGAGAATAATATTATTAACGGAGGGAAAGATTATTAACGGAGGGAAAGAATTTAAGAATATTAACGGAGAATAATATTATTAACGGAGGGAAAGATTATTAACGGAGAATAATATTATTAACGGAGGGAAAGATTATTAACGGAGGGAAAGAATTTAAGAATATTAACGGAGAATAATATTATTAACGGAGGGAAAGAATTTAAGAATATTAACGGAGAATAATATTATTAACGGAGGGAAATATTATTAACGGAGGGAAAGAATTTAAGAATATTAACGGAGAATAATATTATTAACGGAGGGAAAGATTATTAACGGAGGGAAAGAATTTAAGAATATTAACGGAGAATAATATTATTAACGGAGGGAAAGATTAGGGTGGTGTTTGAGGTAGACAGACGTTATATAGAGCACATAAACTGGTAGTGGTACTGGTGAAAGAAAATGAACTTAGCATTTCTAGGGTTCCCTCAACTACCCTTGTTTTAAAGTTGAACATTCATTTTCAATCATCAATTTTAAGTTAAGCTTAATAGTCTTCGTTCCGATAAACGACTTCCCTGTATTATTAATTAATTTTCTGACAGTAAATATAACCGAATATTTACAATCGTGCTCTCTCAAGCTGAATGTCGTAAAACTAAACTGCTCATATAAGCGCTGACCTTTGACCAGCGATAAATTCGACAAGGAACAATATTTTTGAGCAGCTGATACAACTAAAAATTCGATTTCGATAAAGGCCCCCTAGCCATGCGGCCTGCCCCTTAATCCTAATAATTTCATATTTCTTGTTGAATAAATGTACCAAATAAAACGGGGAATATAATCTATTAAACAAATAAACATTACAATGAAAGAAATAACACACTCATTAATAAAGAAAATGCCTGTCGACATTTTTCAGGGTATAAAGCAGTTAAATAATCTTAAACTCAAAAGTTATCGAGATTTAAAATCAGTTAGATATAAAATTTTAGCCATCTTATTTCCAGAAAGTTTGTATAATTTCGTATGGAGGACACATACCTTCTAATCGATTGATTAAGTATTCAATTAATCAATCAACCAGTCGAAAGGCTCCCTATTACCCAACATCCAATGATAAAGATCCTCCTATGGCAAGATTAAAGACGCGTATTAACATACTCTTTGTACAAATAACACTAAGACGCGTATCCCATGAGCCACCATAACGGGGTCCGCCAGATTTTGTAGACATTTGTTGAAAAAAGGAAGGGGCTTAGCCCGTTATAAAACAAAAACGTACATTCTTAAGATTTTCCAGCATTAATCTACAATTTTTGGCCCGCCCATCTTTCATAATGTACAGACTAGAAACTGGGAACGTTTTTACGCTCACAAAACATCAATCCTACCCTCCCAATATCAAAGCAACATATTCAGTGGAAATAAGGCTACTTTTTCAGCACAGTTAAAACAACATTGACAATATCACCCCAGCCAAACATCTGATAATTTTATGGTTCGCGATTAAACAAACACAGGAAATGTGTTAGACTCATTTTTGGTCTTCGGCGTCACTGGGCTACATTATTTTGTATTTTATTAAAAAAATAGTGACGGCGCAAAATATTGAAATTTCGACTCCAAAACTACAGAAAACGACGTTTAATGCGAAATTTCTGCTGAAACTGATGTATCCTGTTTAACGAAAGTTAAAATTAATTTAATCAAAATATAAATAAACAACCTTTAAGTTAAAAACCTCCATTTCTGTTGCAACAGAATGATATTCGGGACAAAGTATGTACACAGTCCGCAACATATTTTTGCGCTTCATCGGAATTTTAAGTTTATAGACAATACTCATTAACCGTCCGAAGCATACAGATTACAGATTCGGTCAATTTAGTTTCAATCATAGCCGTGCATCGCAGTGGTTGACCAAATCCCAGTGGCGTAAAACTGTGTTGAAGTATTCCTATCTCGCGACGAATCGTCGCCCTTTGCTGACGTCATGTGGTAGTTTTATGACGTCACGTGGTAGTTTGAAGAGGTCACGTGGTATTTAAAGCAGTCACGTGGTTTCTTTGTGACGTCACGTGGTGCTAAGTACACGGCGATGGCTATTGGCGCAACTTCAAGAAGGTGATGATCTCGACCAGGGAAGTTTAATCACACTGCAGGTACAGGGGATATAGGGGCGGGCTCTATCTCATCTTCACCTGTTATCCGCACAGCAACTGTAAAGAGAGGGGTGATTAGTATCGTGCTAATTATTCTGATTAATTAGTCTATTAATTAGTGGTCAATCAATTGAATATGAGATATACAGGTATAGTTCCCGTCATCGTAGCTTTTCTAACGTAAATAAACAAATCAACTAATTAACCAACTAATTAACTAATCGAGTGATACCTGATGATGATGTGTGTTGTTGTTGCGGAGAAGGTGGATTAACAAAGTCTGTCTGGACCTCCTGGTCCACCCTAGTAGACACATTCTCGCTCTGTTCCACCGCTGGTGGTGGCGGCTGGTTCAGCGTGTCACCCCCCGAGGGCTGCAAATTTTATTAGTTTTATATGGGAAGTTTTGGGGTAATTATTAGTTTATTATTTTTTAAATGTTACGGTCAGTCCATGTAGGTGTGTATATAATAATGAATAATTAAAATTTGACCATAGGACAATATTTAATCATAATTTAATTACAGTCTGCTAGAGGCTCGAATGTTGGTACAGAGGCCGTGTGTATGTGTACTAACGAATTAAAGAGATTACAACTGACCAGAATCACTTACATATAAAGTTTAAATCCGGGCGTGATTCTGGTTTGTTAACCCTGTAACTCACGTTTTAATTTTCTTAATAAATGATTTGGAGAGTCGATGGCAGGTGAGAAATTAATCAGAATCACAGGATATATTCACTTTTATTAGATTTGATTAGGACAATTGGTGGCAGAATTAACTAACCATTCCGAGATGTTCTAATATGTCCAGCTTGCACATTGGACATGTTCGATGGTCGAAAAGCCACGGATCGACACAATTCTTGTGAAATTCGTGCCTGAAAAAGAAATAGGATTAGATATTCAAGATCAATAATAGTTGGAAAATCTCAAACGTAAATATTCGAATCAATTCACTACGTGAACAGATCGAGCTAATAAAAGACACATAGTAACATACAGTACGTCTGTAATCAAATATTTGACTAGTGAGTTGAGAATGAAAATTAAGATATTTGTGATCCGACAGTGTTTCGGAATGTAGCTAGCGGACAATGAAGGCAAATTTTGATGATGGCGCGCATTTGGATCCTTTATTTTATGAACAAAAGAATCGTACAATTTAAGGGCTTTTAGAATGTAAACACTGATAAGAGTAAAATATGTTAATCAATTTTCATAATTGAATAAATTAAGATAGTCGCCGGTTGGTTGCAGTTTGCATGAAGTGCAGCAGCGCACGCGCGCGCGCTTAACTTGCTATTTTCGGATATGATGCACTGAACACAACAAAAAACGAACTTGGTACATAAATATTAGTCCGCGCGCAACGCGATTAGCAGGAATTTGACATTTAGTGTCCCCAGAACATAAGGAAAGAGCTGCGTTTCCTTGCTTACTAAAGTGTAAAATAGTACACCGGAAGTTGCAAAGTTGAGCAATGACACGAGTAAGATCATTGGAAGACATTGGGCACGATCATGAGATTATTTCGTCATATTCCCACGGTCGTTGGCTATCACGTACTGCAACATATTTTCGCACCTACCTCACAACACATATGACATATCTTATGACTTTATCCACCCCACAATCATAATATATAGGCACCAGTACGATATATTGTTTTATGGATTCTGGCCAAAACATGTTCCCATATGACGCATGCATCAAACACGATCCTTTATTACATTTAAAACTACTCTAAGATGAATGCCGAAGTTTGTGAACACGATGAAGCATGACTCATGAGTGTATTTTAAAACTTCCGAATAAGATTTTTACAAAACAGCGAATTCAACCATCGTACTTTTAATAAAAAAGCAACAAGTCATTCGGTGAGATTTTATGGTTTTATTATCACTGGTTTTAGATGTTGTGATACTAACTGACATGGTATATTTTAGAGAGTAATGGGTCCGCCAATTATTAACGATTAATTATTAATTCAGGGGAAGTATTTAATATAATCGTAAATATTTTACAGTCGTAAACGGAAACTTAAACTTAAGATTGAATTGTATTTAACATTTGATCAGTTTCTGTCAAGAACACTACTGATTTGATAAGAAACCAATATTTTAGGGATAGGTTTTTCAATGATACCACTTACTGACTTACCAAAACTAAAATATTCAATATTTCATGACTTAGTTAAGCATGCTCTGATATAACAAGATAGTATCAAAGATCTTCCTTCAGTTAATACCAGAATTACAAAATCTCCTATGCAAGCTCTTGAAGTTTAGCTGTAAGAAGCGACGTCAAGGTTGTCTGTCCACGACGTTTTTTTGCATCTAATCATGACTTTTTGCTTTTATACGTCAGGATTCTGCGCTTTTAATTTCGACTTAACTGCCGATGACGTTAAATATCAGACCTTAGCCAGACCCTTTAAAATATGTTTGATGCTCGATATTAAATTTTAAGGACACTATTATATCGAAGTTAAACTTCTTAAACCAGCAAAACCATTAACCGGGTAATAAGCAATAATTTTAAAGTTTAAACGAAAAATTTCATTCCTCGATAAATTTGTCGCCTCCTAAACCGCTATTTATGACCTAATGTAAGAATCAACTTAAACTTTAACCGTTACAAAAAAACATTTAAATCGTTGAAGAACGTCAACTATTTTACCGAAATCTGTCACTCACACGAGACTCATATCACGTGACTCACACAGCAACTTAACACAGCTAGAGTATTAATAAAGTGGTAATCTCGAGTGAAAATACGTAGAAAAACTAAACGCAACTGGGCTGCTGACAACTGTGCTAGTTTCTGTTATTAGTACTACATTTTCATAGACTTTAGTTCGGCTGGGGAGTAAGAGTAAACGTTCTTAACACCACGGTTATTTATCGGTTCAATCCTGCCATCTGATCGGTTATATTGCTGTTTCATCCGTTTTTAATGAATCAAACATCTTTAGCTGTTGATTCTTCCTCCCCAAGCATACTCGTAGAATAAATTTTGCAGAAACCGAGTTTAATGGTAAGAAGTCTTAAACTTAAATACCGAGATTAAAACTTGTGACAGGCCTCCCATAACCGGTTACAGAGTTACGGAGGCACTACTTTGGGCGATAGATGGGGTTTAACGCTGCCACAATAAGTGGACTGGCGAGCTGCCAGAATTCTAGGAAGGACTGTATTTAAGTAGTTAGTCAGCTTACCAATGTTACCATGCCCCTTACCACTTAAGTATCCTTTTAGTTTACTGAGCGCGGTATAACATGTTGAACATGTTGCCATATCATCCACCTCTCCCTCAGACGGCTTATTACTTTTAAGTATTAAGTATATATTATTTATATGTATATAACTTTTAGATGAATTGGTTGCGCAAGGATTTAAGTTAGCTGCATTGCGCAATAAGTTTGTCAAGTTTTATAAATCAAGATTAAATATTTGGGGTAAATATGGTAGTGATATTTATGATGAATTTATAGAAATGTTTCAATCACCTAATATTATTTATATTAAATATAATATATATATAATATACCTATAAAATATAAGATAAGAGAGTACGCATATATTCTTATTTCTCTAGAGCACGCACGGAGCTTCATTTTAAAATTCGATCTCCGAATTTTCGAATGATCTTATAACTACTGTATGATGAGAGTTAGATGGAATTAACGTTCGCACCATCTACCATTGATACTCCCCGTACTCTCGTATTTGAGGGGGCTTCTATCCGGTTATATGGTCGATACAAGTTGAAGATTTGAAGGGATTTCGAGGAATGGCCCGAGGAATCCATGCCCTTTCATTTACAATATGTAAACTTTCATATTATAGTAATTTATAGTAAAAACTCAAGAAGTTTTAACTTTAAACTTCAGAATCTAAAAACTGTACTTAGGACAGTGTGCTCGAAGAATAGGCACAATTATTTAGAGCTCCTTACAAAATCTGAACATAACTTATAGCGTAACTCGTTTTAAAACTATTACAAAGTAACATTTCGGCAGAATTGCACTTATTTGGCTATTACGTTACTGGACTTCTGCCTAAGACAATTAATTAGATTCCAAGAATGCCACGCATTACCTGACATTAAGATAAAATCAACTGAATTGTTTAAAAAAACTCATACACGCTGTAAGCCCAGAATTGCATTTTTGTCCGCTTCTTGCCGGGGGGGGGGGGGGGGTGGTCGTTCTTGCTTAGCTAACAGAAATTATATGATGAGGGGTGCGGAGTTGTGAGCGAGAGGTTCAGCACCCGTTTCCCATTTCCAATTTCCCATTTCCTGTTCCCATACCTTAAGTCAGGGTTAAACCCATCACAAACAGATTTGTTTTACATAACTCCGATTTTCTTAATTCTTTCACTTTCAGTCAAGGGCGCGACAAATTTTAGAAAGCAACTTTATTTATTTACAGCAGCAATTTTAAGCATTATAGTCCAAGAAGATGCAGAGTACGCTGAATAAACGAGCCAATCACAGGCAACTGTCAAGGCTAAATAATTACAGTTTGACGTAATAGAGGTACATGACTCAGCCAATATCGATATAATATTGTAGCTTTTAATCAAATGCTTTGCAGTTTTCGAGGTGCAACTGTGCAACTGTGCAACATGGTGGAACTGTTTAGAGTAAGCAATGCTATGGGCAAACAGACAGCGAATGGGCTTTTTAATGTAACCAACTTATGCGTCAGCATGATGTAAACATGCTAGCTTGAAGCGTGTTAGTAAATTATATATATATATATCCTAGTATATATACTAGGAGGAACCCTTATAACCCTAAAATGGTGTCAAGACTCAAGAGACTAAAATAATTATTACCTATTAAATTCGCGTTTTTGACACCACTTGGGGGTCCAAATTTTGGGCTCTAAAATTCCTATTCCTTGGCCGATTTTTATTTTTTCATGCTGATTTGGAGGCCATTAAAGCATTTGACCCAGTCAAAAAAGTTTCAGTTGTATATCTTTTACGGTTTTTGCGGAAAGTCGCGTTAATTCGTTAAAGTTGATGCCGTGGTGTCAGTAAAATGGCACGGATAAACACATATATATCGTCTCGCTTTATATATAGTAAAATAGCTGAATTCTTTTTCCACAGAATTCTACTAAAAAATTCAAATCTTTAACATTTAGTCATGAGACCAGCCTGCGATCATACTATCTATAATAACTCTAATAATATATCAACATGAATAGTCAAGATAACCAAGCTGTTATATTATTATATCGCTTAGTTTGGGACTCAACATCGCGAATCAATGTTCCATCTTAATATTAGTAATTTAGTAGCCAATAGAATCGCGAGCTAAAATCGATTCATTGGAAATTCTTTAAAGCTGTTTAAGATGAGCTATATTTAGAAACTGGACGAGTATAAATTTCTTTACCAACTTGAATTAAATATGGATCACGGGCGTTAGCCGATAGCGCAGAATCTATTGTTTCATCAACGTGTACACGAAGCTATTTATCAACCTTTAAATATGTTAATCGCTACATAAAGAAGGTGTGTTTTGAATGAATATCTGACTGACATGCGATGATTATTACTTTATTATGGCCCTGTTCTTATATTACATGATAGCCGACACCCTCACACCCAGATGACTTTTTAACAGAATGCACATTATTATTGAAATTCGCCATGCATAAAATAGTCAACTGATATAATTGCGATATTGGCAAAAATTCGCACTGATCTTGAATGGCTTCCTTTAAATATCTGTTGGGGTATGTTTTATCGTTGAAGCGTGTTATAAATGTACTAGGATTTATTTATTATTTATATAAGATAAATATTATAATTTATTTAATGATAAAATAAAACTGGTAATATTACACTTACTTGCAAGGTAATATTCTGATCACTTCTCTAGGTTTATATAAGTCCAAACAAACAGGACAAAAGTCAGCATCCTCATTACTTGAACAACTACTGCAAGTACTGTCGTTCTGAAATTATAATTGGTTAATTAATTACTTGAACAAGTATTACATGTGATGTCGTTCTGAAACTATAATTGGTTAATTAACCAAGTAATTAGATAGGTAGTTGAATATATGTTGGACGAGGAATTGTCTGATTATAAATTTAATTAATGCGGTATCATCTAAAATTGAGATTCATACACTACACCCTGATAATTGGTAGTTGGTACGTCTAATGAGGTAACGACGGCGCGCGCTAATTGGCTAATTAGCTAATTGCGCGCTAATTGGCTAATTAGGTATCAGCCACTGATTATTTTACGACCGTTATGTGCTGTCGCGATGCCAATAAGCGACCTCAGTGGTTTTTAACGTCGATAGTTCACTGCTAAGTGATATAGTCATTAGTCAAAGATAATTTAATTAATAGCTGTCGTTTTATGTAAAATCCGGATTGGAACATTGTTTATGAGTCGCATGGTTGCAATGTATTCTTGTGTAAATTTGTATTGATCCCGTTTGTTGCGACAAGGAAAAATGCTCTTATCAGGAAAGGAATTTCTCTGCATTTCAATAGTTCAATGTTACAACATCGTATTCATGATCCAAAAATATTTCTGTTAAAATTTGCTGTCGCTGTGCAATAGAAAGTCTAGTCACTAGCTATCATCATTTGCATTGCATAACACAGGGAGTCTTACAGCCTAGCTCGTAATTAAACTTTAAAGGTTTCCGAATCTTTCGATAACTCGATAAGATTGAAATTAAAACTAACTAAAAAACTTCTCCCTCAAATTTATTACAAGAAACTGAAAATTAAATAATGAAACAAACATAATATGTTTGTCTGGACGTGACGGCGACTTTCAGGCCGATTTATCACCGCCTGTAGCTCTGAAGGTGATCAATCAATTAACCAATCAAGGTGATTGGTTAATACCACTTAACTACCAACATGTTGATTATAAAAAGTAGGAAGTTTCTAGACGATTACTTAAAAAGTAGGCAGTTTCTGTGGCAGAACTTGGAAACGTTTTATTCCGAGGAAGTACTTAGTACTTAGTAGTTGAGCACTTTGAGAACTAGTTGCAAGCTGTAGACTCTAGAGTTTAAATGAGCGGGGTTTCAAACTTTCTCATTTCATGTACCTTGAATATATTTGATTGTGTGCTAACCTGCCTTAATTAAACAATATAAAATAATAGAGTGATGTAAAATATAGATTTTAATTTAACTAAAATAGAATATAAAATGTATTACTCACATCAGGAATTGGGGGTGCCGACTTTTTAATTTTCTTTGTCTGAAATAGGAAATATTATTGTCAATTATATGACTAACTCTTTAACTTTAAGTTCCACGGCACATTGTTCACCATATTAATATGTCCAATATTTTGGCTCCCTCCTTTCGATTTCATTCAATTTAGAACTAAAGGGTTAGTTGGGGAGCCTTATAGTTCCAAGGGCAATTTTCCGAAAAAAATAAGTTGGACAATTTATTATATAAAAAGATATTTATCATGGTAACCTGTTCCCCGGCCTATTAATTTACCTCCCAGTATTGATACCCGTATCGAATTAGTCAGGGTAGTGTATACTTGTATACATTATACAGCATATTATTATATAATATACAGCCGATATGAAGACAGACCACTTAAGACGGAACAAAATTCCTGGGTCCTGCATAGCAACGCAATATTATCAATTAAGACCACAGCGATCGTATAATTTGAGTGATCAAATTTTACACGTCAACATGTTAATGATTTTTTGGCTCAAATAATTGAGTGAAACCGAAAAGAGGGATCCGAAAAATTCGACATATTTAACATATTTAATTAGACCATATTAGTAGCTGAAAAATACGCCGTGAAATCGCTTAAAAGGATTATGTGAACTATGCATACAATGTGAACTGTGAAGGTGTGAACTGGAGGACAACATAATTCACAAAGTGCAGAGTTCTACAGAGGACTACGGTACTACTACTGTATCGGTACAAACAAACACCCAACAACAATTATTATTCTTCAACATTGATAACATCTCCCCACAGACTACTGATTAGAACTCAAGTCTCAAAACCTACACAGCTGTGAAAGTCTTACTGTCTCTTGCTGTTTTTACGAAGTAAAAAAACACAGATCATTAATCCAAATCACGCCCTAACTTTATTTAATCACATACTGTTGTTGTTGTTGTTGTTGTTAAATCTAGTTAAATCACGCCCTAACTTTATTTAATCACATACCGTTGTTGTTGTTGTTGTTAAATCTAGTTAAATCACGCCCTAACTTTATTTAATCACATACTGTTGTTGTTGTTGTTGTTAAATCTAGTTAAATCACGCCCTAACTTTATTTAATCACATACCGTTGTTGTTGTTGTTGTTGTTAAATCTAGTTAAATCACGCCCTAACTTTTTTTAATCACATACCGTTGTTGTTGTGGTTGTTGTTAAATCTAGTTAACGAGATAATAATATTACAATACACATTAATCTGACCTATCTTAATACCTGGAATGAACCAACTCATTGGGTATGTTTCACAGAGACCACGTATTCTATGTGAGAGTGGTACTCACTACTCTGTAATCTGTATCTATATACCGATACTACTGTATATCTCTCCCAATCTCTCAATCTATCACTGCTCATGCTCAATGATATCTAAAAAATCTCTCAATATAGCTGTAGACTGTAGTATAAGGTATGTACACAGTGCAGAGTGGAGTGCAGAGTGGAGTGCTGAGTGTTATATACAAATAGAATTAATTTCATCTTCTAAGTGAGATATCATAGGCCATAGCTACAAACTGATACCCACCAACAGTAAAAACATGATATGTTTGTTTGTTTGTTTGATTATAGAACCCGTCCCAATCTCGTATCGGAAAATGAATAAACTCAGTTCTGAGTGTGAATACCTGATATAACGCGCCCTGATTTACTACGGCCACGGCCATCTCCTTCCTCCAAGTTAGCTTAACATGCATAATGTAAACAAGGTCAGTTCTTGAAGGAAAGCAGGGAGTTTGAATTCCATTTCATGTCCAGAGTAAGAGTTCAGAGCAGATGACGTGTTCTAACATGGATGTTACTGGTTTCCCCAATCATATACAGTTAAATTCTACTTGACTGCCCTAATCGGTCCGAGCATTTTCCCAGCCTAAACATTCTTTGTCACCATTCCATTTTATTCAAGTTTCCATGTTCCGTAAAGCTGTATTATTTGATGAAAGTTACAAATCAATTGTCTGTGATCAAACCAAGTGAGGTATTTCATTCGGGGAAGTAAAATCAGTATTATATAATACACTGTTTTACCTTCAGCTTCCCCTATATAATTACAGTGTTATCATACTACAGAACTCACTACCTTAATACCTGTCTGGAGCAAGGACAAAGTTATTTTTAACTTTCCCACAGAGCTACAGATCAGTGGTACGGGAAGAAATTTGAAACTTTGGTTTTTATTCCGTTGCAAAACCTCGAGGTAAACATTATAAAGACTGACCTCTATTATACTATAGTAAATTCTATACTAGTAAAATTATGGGGGGTAAAAATATGGACTGTTATAAATATGGTTCTTTGGCCCGAAAAGGACCAAATTAGACCCCCCATAATATTAACGACTAAGGTATACTCTAGAGTACTCTATACTCTATACTATATTGGCTACTATACCTAGCTCTATACAAGACCAGAAAATCGAATTCAAATAAAAATCATAAAGTCATAATACACGCATAATATGATAATATCCCTGCATAATATTACATGCATATTATGTTATAACATATTACATACATTGCCTCACAATAGTTATATTATTTAAACAACTGTACCCATTCAAGAGGACGACACGAAAACAGAAAATATTAGAATATAAAAGGCCGTGTGACGCCGCAGTCTCATATTAACTTACCTTTGTGACTGTATGTGATGCAGAACACAACATGTTGCACAATAGCGTTACATTAACGTAACATTAACGTAATATTAACGTAACATTAGCGTAACATTAGCTTTACAATAGCGTAACAAAAGGATCACAAAATCTTTAATAAATGATACGCTACAAATAACAATAATATGTAGATTGTAAGTCGCTCCCCCCCCCCCCCCCCCCCCCCCCATTAATGTGAGAGCGTCCGGAGTTTTGTAAGCTGGGCTGCAATTTCTTAGCCTTATTTTTATCTCATAATAAACAAAAGCGGCCGCATTTCTTATTATTTCTACTCATTTAGCTTAATTCGTTCTGTGAACAGCACCCTGCTATGATATTATAATAATATAACTAAATTTGGGCCTGCTTGAACTTGAGTAAAGAAATATGTAAAATGTCTCAATTTATACAGTTTCAAAGCGAGCTGATATTTATCAGAACACCACTGTTTAATTTCTACTGGCCCTAATGAGCTTACTCTACTCTATTGTAAGGGGCTAGGGCAGCCACCAAGCTGAGATTAAATAGCTACAAAAAACATGTAACTATGTTTTAAAAGCGAACTTACTGTAGTTTCAATTACGTAGCGAAAAGAGACCCCTAGATCATTATTACACTGGTCGTTATGCTCGCTAAATTCGTAACCAGTGGTGAGGAACACTACATGAAGAAGCAGTGACGTAGTAATGAAGTAGCACTACATCCTTCTTAAGAACTTAGATCAGCCCTTAATAAAGTAGAACACTAACATCATGACGTCACCTTGACAGAAACACCCAACAATTAATCTCCCAAACCATACAACCTAACGTTATCTAATGATCTCCAGCATGTTTCAAAGGAGATCTCCGACGCTCTCTCTCTCACCGTGTGTATTGTGTAATATAATGTCACGTGTCATGTGATATGCGTCACACAGGGAAACAACACAAGGAAACACGGACATATTTTAATTAGGGACACACAGGGATTCCACTGCCACCAAGCATGCAGGATGTATTATAATAGTGAAGCTGGGTGTAACGAATCATTGTACTGCGACACCGTAGAAGCATGTTGAAAGCGTACGTGGTTACTGGTTCAACCAAGAATCATATACATGATATACATTCCATAATCTGATCGTGGTAATATATTGTTAGATTGTGGTCCAACCAGTGAGTAAAACTTAGTAAAACTTAGACAGTAGGTGATTTTCACGGCGCTTAATTATCTTATTGATTTAAAGTACCAAGGTAATGGTAATGGTTATTCCTGGACGGGTTGAGTCCGTAATAACCGGGGTTGCTCCTACAAGTAAAGGCGGTGTATAGCAGGTTTTAGCAGGTTTTAGAGTACCATTATTGGGTGGCTGAGAGTCTAGCACCTGCTAGAGATAACCATACCCTACTAGACACTATTCTTCTAAATTCATTATCTCATCTTTCTATCTTGGATACCAGGTCTGATTTTTCCCACAGTGTATTGCTGATAAGTTATTAGGTAGTATGGCATGATACCAATATTTTAACGGTTATCAGTTTTTTCCCACTTCAGCCCTTTTACCTTTCCGATTCTTAGAATGCTGATACTTCAAAATTCCAAAAGAAAAGTTTCGAAGTTTCACATGACGTAATCAGACAATTTCATTAGATAAAAGGAAACTTGGCAGCGTTTTGTAACCTGATGCTAGTTCTAAGAGGGCCAGCAGTTTTAGCTTCTTATAAGAAGAAAAAATATATCACAGGGAATAATTATAGATTATAATTCGTGATTATCCCAATTACCTTAAGTAGTCGGTGGTATAATTGTCGTAATTAAGTATGTATTATGCGGTCAGATTTTATTGTTTCTTAGCAAGCTCACACGCTATCTATTGTTAAGATATACGTGGTGACTGACTGCATGGAGTAAAATAACAATAACAAGTAAGTAACAACGAGATTGCGTCATAGTTACATAACGAGAGTAATAAATACTTAATTGCTCTCAATTTCCGTTTCATCATCGTTAGTAACCACACGTACCGTACGAGCGACACGTACATCAATGAACTTTGCTAATTACCCTACTAATTACTGTATTAATCAAAATACATAACATCGCATGATTGCTACTTCTTCCGTGTTTTTACAGTTAGAGATATTATACATTGTACATTATACAATATTATACATTGAAAAGATATGGAGACAAGTTTAAATAGTACTAGGGGTAATAATACATCAAAATGATTACCTAACACATGATACATTCTCAGTAAATCGATATGACTATTACTTAATTACCTCACTCGGGAATATTATGACTGGGATAAAGTGGTGGGTTTTGGAAAATTCCGCCATATTTTTCCCGGTTATTAATTTTCCCAGTCATAAATTAACCCGCTATAATGTTCCCGAGTAAGGTAAACTAATAGTAATACATTTTGATGCTTGGTGGGTTTTGGAACATTCCGCCATATTTTCCCGGTCATTACAGTAATTTTCCCAGTCATAAATTAACCCGCTATAATATTCCCGAGTAAGGTAAGCAATTAATGATTAATTTACTAATTGTTAAGGAGAAATTAGCAAACTTACAGTTTTAGGTAGATCTGGTACGGTCTTGGTGGGGAGTTTACTGACCGCTCTTTTTGCTGCTACACATAACCGACTCTGAAACAAAGCGTTCGTTAGTTAATTAGTTAATTAGTTATTTAGTTCATTAATTAATTAGTTAATAATTCATTACTTAATAATAATTCATTACTAAATAATTCATTCATTACTAAATAATTCATTCATAACTAAATTATTCATTTATTAATAATGTTTAATAAAAACATTCTATCATTCTACAAAAGGTGAAAGGGGGGGCGGGGGGGGGGCGGGGGGGGGGGAGCGGTACCACTTGTTTCATAATAGTAACTATGCCATATAAGCGGCGGCTACATCCTCCTATCTTAACAAGCACTTAGCACAAGACACTGTGCCAAGTAAGAGAGTAGAAGAATTATCGTTGTCTCACTTGAAATGCATCACTTCAAACAGTGTTAAAAAACGTCAGAATTTTCCTCAGAAAAACATACAAGTGACCGAGAGATAGTTTTAACTTGACTGTCGTATTGTGTGTTCATCATCTTGTCAGACTATACGAAGACTTATGAGAAGCTTACACACGATAATACTAATGTTTTTCTAACATTAGGGTTTATATCATAATATTTATTCAGGTGAATTATGAATATGTCGTATTCCATATTATTCTTGACATTATTATGATTATAATTAACATTAGTATGATGATATTTGTCTTGGAATAATAAATATTTCCTACTAATAATAATATATCGTATTTTGTAGATATAATATGATCTATAATATTGTTTATGACGTTAGTGCTGGTAGGGACCCATCAACTTTGACGCAGGTTCTGGAATATGACTTATTCTGCAGTAAACTGCAGCAAAGCTTTTATTAAAGCTTACTCTAAACCCAATTTGTTTCTGATCAGTTATGATGATGTTAAATAAAAAAGGGATGTTAACGTTACGATACCACATTTAGATGTTACATCAAATAACGTTATAATCTTCCCCTGAAACCGTGCTTATTTGATTAAACAATAAACATATTCGAACAATACAGCCAAAATCATAATGATTTAGGTTCTGGAACGACTTTAGTTCTGGAAGTGGAACAACCTAAATTCAAACTATTTGTACAGAACAGCTAAATTACGAGACTGGTTCTGGAACACACCCCTTGGTAGTAACAGTCAGCAGCACAGCTTTTATTATACCATTACAGCTTGCAATGTACGTCACCACACTAACACTCACTCCAGAACAACAATACCACCCACCACCCACACACTAACACTTACTCCAGAACAACAATAGAACAATACAGTATAATATGCGATCAAATGACACGTAAATGTAAAAATGGCACATTTGAAAGTGCCGTGATCTTTAAATAGAGCGTAGCGTGGAGACCAGACATCATGTTACTCAGATCTGATATGTTACTAACGTCATGCTAACTTGGGGGATCTGGCAGGCAAGCAATAGTAGTACTCTGGGTATGTGCGAGATTTGGAGGGCAGGAACCAAGAGTGCCCTTTGGAAAACTAAGTAGAACTCTGGAGTATGATAGAGTAATATGGAGGTGCCCAAAAAAGCCTTCTGTTGTAATGTTTTGCTTAGAGTTTTAGTCAGAGTTTAGTCAGAGTATGGTCAACAGTCAACAGTCAACAGTCAAGGACAAGAGGTACTCTGTGATCAGCCGTCATCAACTAGACTGTGGTCAGCCGTCATCAACTAGACTGTGATAGCCGTCATCAACTAGACTGTGATCAACTTAGTAACTGATTAGTAACACAATCAGTGAGGCTACCGTAGACATATCTCTCAAGAGACCGTTAACTCTGAGTCTCCCTTTCTTACTAACTGGCCAGTACTGCTGCACTGTACTGTACTGTACTGTACTGTACTGTACTGTACTGTACTGTACTGTACTGTACTGTACTGTACTGTACTGTACTGTACTGCACTGTACTGCACTGTACTGCACTGTACTGCACTGTACTGTACTGTACTGTACTGCACTGTACTGTACTGTACTGTACTGTACTGTACGAGTTGATGAGACACTGATAATTAAAGTCACCTTTAGGCGGCTTCAGGAGATACTAATGATAACCACTGTAACAAGAATTACGGCTCCTCTTCTTCCTCTTCTTTTAGGGGAATACTCTAAAGGTCAGACTGGTTAATTTATTTTTATGTTCATGATGCAATTTATACTACGTATTTCAATACTTACATACTTGATAAGAAGAATATTCAAGAGATCTTGTTTTTATTGTATGCATGCCAATGTGTCCAGTACATTGTAAGACTAAGAGAGTAACAGTACTGTTACTGCACGTGAGTACAGTACTGTTACTGCACGTGAGTACAGTACTGTTACTGCACGTGAGTACAGTACTGTTACTGCACGTGAGTACAGTACTGTTACTGCACGTGAGTACAGTACTGTTACTGCACGTGAGTACAGTACTGTTACTGCACGTGAGTACAGTACTGTTACTGCACGTGAGTACAGTACTGTTACTGCACGTGAGTACAGTACTGTTACTGCACGTGAGTACAGTACTGTTACTGCACGTGAGTACAGTACTGTTACTGCACGTGAGTACAGTACTGTTACTGCACGTGAGTACAGTACTGTTACTGCACGTGAGTACAGTACTGTTACTGCACGTGAGTACAGTACTGTTACTGCACGTGAGTACAGTACTGTTACTGCACGTGAGTACAGTACTGTTACTGCACGTGAGTACAGTACTGTTACTGCACGTGAGTACAGTACTGTTACTGCACGTGAGTACAACTTACTGTTACTGCACGTGAGTACAGTACTGTTACTGCACGTGAGTACAGTACTGTTACTGCAGTGAGTACAGTACTGTTACTGCACGTGAGTACAGTACTGTTACTGCACGTGAGTACAGTACTGTTACTGCACGTGAGTACAGTACTGTTACTGCACGTGAGTACAGTACTGTTACTGCACGTGAGTACAGTACTGTTACTGCACGTGAGTACAGTACTGTTACTGCACGTGAGTACAGTACTGTTACTGCACGTGAGTACAGTACTGTTACTGCACGTGAGTACAGTACTGTTACTGCACGTGAGTACAGTACTGTTACTGCACGTGAGTACAGTACTGTTACTGCACGTGAGTACAGTACTGTTACTGCACGTGAGTACAACTTACTGTTACTGCACGTGAGTACAACTTACTGTTACTGCACGTGAGTACAGTACTGTTACTGCACGTGAGTACAGTACTGTTACTGCAGTGAGTACAGTACTGTTACTGCACGTGAGTACAGTACTGTTACTGCACGTGAGTACAGTACTGTTACTGCACGTGAGTACAGTACTGTTACTGCACGTGAGTACAGTACTGTTACTGCACGTGAGTACAGTACTGTTACTGCACGTGAGTACAGTACTGTTACTGCACGTGAGTACAGTACTGTTACTGCACGTGAGTACAGTACTGTTACTGCACGTGAGTACAGTACTGTTACTGCACGTGAGTACAGTACTGTTACTGCACGTGAGTACAGTACTGTTACTGCATGTGAGTACAGTACTGTTACTGCACGTGAGTACAGTACTGTTACTGCACGTGAGTACAGTACTGTTACTGCACGTGAGTACAGTACTGTTACTGCACGTGAGTACAGTACTGTTACTGCACGTGAGTACAGTACTGTTACTGCACGTGAGTACAGTACTGTTACTGCACGTGAGTACAGTACTGTTACTGCACGTGAGTACAGTACTGTTACTGCAGTGAGTACAGTACTGTTACTGCACGTGAGTACAGTACTGTTACTGCACGTGAGTACAGTACTGTTACTGCACGTGAGTACAGTACTGTTACTGCACGTGAGTACAGTACTGTTACTGCACGTGAGTACAGTACTGTTACTGCACGTGAGTACAGTGAGATTATTGAGATGTATGGGATACTACACACGGTGTAACAGTATTTTGTATAGGTATTTATTGCGGATATGTAGCAAGAATGTAGCATGTGTAGTAGTTTCAATGGATTCAAGATATATTGAACGTTATCATGGACATCTCGTAATGTACTAGCTGCTGATGAATCTGTCGGTATATTCAAAACTACATGATTCATGGTCATGATAAGTTTCTAAATGTTGCAGATTATTTTTATACCCTCCGTGGTTTGATTTGAAAAATACTGACTTCAATCACACATAAAAACTTAGAAACGAGTTAAAGAAAACCTGGAAATTCTCTAATTTACTGGATACCACCAGACCTCACAGTCTGGTGTAAATAGTCTGGCCAAGTGACGTGTCCACTTGTCCAGTCTAGAAAGTTGTCTGATGTGTCTACCAGAGTCACGTACTAGAGTCACCATGTTGTGTTACTATGGTAACACTATCTAGTCTGTAACTATGGTAACACTATCTGTTGCTCGGAATACACCCGATTTCTCGAAACTGCTCGGTGGTACTGCACAAGTCCTAATAAACGAGGGGTATCATCCTGTCGTATATCATTCGTGTAGCAACATTTCATAATTAAATCCTAAAGTTTTGATTTGCACTTATATTGTTAGGCTGAACTCGACGCTGAGTACCTGACTTTATAATGATTTACGGCGTAAGATACGTGACAGGTGCGGTCATGCCATTATAACACGTACTATAGAATCAGTAACCACCAGGAGGAGAATAATGTCTGTGAGGGTACCAGTGGCTGCGCCATTACACCGACCCACTACACAAATTACCTCCCACACTCCGGTGGTTGAAAGGTTACGAATGGTAAACTTGATTTGATTTCAGATACACATTGAAACTTCAGAATAAAATATTCTCTCGTGTTTGAAGTTAGCCCCAATAGAATTTTCATGGAAAATTTTATTTTATTTTATTTTATTGTGATGAGGCGTGGAGACTGAAACAGTTTTAAAATTTGTGGATGCCATTTTACAAATATTTTAAATATAACTAAACTACAGAGCTGAGATTGCCACTTCGTACTGTACAATTAATAAGATTCATTTAGATACTATATAATAATCTGTGCACTATTCTGATATTCCGCTACCATAATATCATTATAATGTCACATTTCAATCCCAACGCAATTACTGCTTAGCTGCCATCAGTCAAGTTAAGGATAGTGCTACAGCTAGTTTTATGATTAACTCAAAGAGTTGGTATTATGATTACGGTATGTTACTATTAACACCCTACGCGCGTGGGGTGGACTCCTGGGGTGGACTTTTATTCAGCGCGTATTTTGTAGCCTGTTCAACTTGACGTTTTGAATCGTTACTATCTCAATGTCACAGATACATAGAATGTGAGGTGATCATCTTAAAGAGAAACGTCTCAGCTTTCACCTGGTGTAAAGTTTATCTTTGTTCTCAAAATATAGCTCGCTCAGTGTGCAACAGAAGTTGACATTACAATAACCACGTCCGCGACCGGTCGTCAGATACCGGAGTCTTGCACAAAATTGGGTCCCTAAATTAAAATTTTATGACACAGTTACGATGAACTAGTGTCTAGGGAAACATTTGGTGAAAGTTTCAACTCTCTACTATAAAAATAGCTATAGTTATTGAAGATAAACCGTGAGAAAATTCCTCTTGTCGAGATCGACGCTCTAGGAACCTCCCTTCTGTACCACGTGACAACGATTAGAGCGTCACGTGGCCGTCACGTGACACAAGTGCGCGCGTTGGCTCGAGCATTCTCGTGGGAAATCCTGATTGCCTGATCGATCTCCTGGGAAATCCTGATTGCTACGGAAAGGGCTGACAACCACTGTTATTTTCGTTCCTCAATTTTCCAGTTCACTTGCTCAGTGCTGTCAGTTGTTTTTTGTTTGCCCTGCTAAATAAATTTCACTCCGTCATAATCCCCTACTCCCCTATCCAATGAACTGTTTCTGTTACAGCTGCCATTCTGTTGACTTGACCCTAACTTAGTCTTATCATTGTCACTTGATAACTTTATCCGTGTGCACTTTCTCGAAACTCACTTATCTTTGTCAAGACTCAGCTTATCTCAGATCTAAATGTTGCCTTAACAGACTTACTGGTCACTGCACTGGGCCCTCCTTTAAATGCAAATATCATATGAGCAGCCGATCGATTTATTGCTTGAACTGTGCATCCTTTTTTTAAAATACATAAGGTCAATTTTTCTATCGTGAAACTTAGTCACTGAAAGTGAAAACAACGCCATCTGGCTGTGCCGGTTCCCCTCTGCCTAGATCACTTAGAATATCCATAGTTAGCAATACTTTAATCGTTTAATGCAGCGATATAGCCAGTTATTAATGCCACATTGTAGATTTTAGCCTGTTCCAATCATCCTTATATCGAGTTAATGAAATTTATGAAATTGCCTACCGTTCAAATCGCTCTCTGTTGTTAGCACCACACTGATTAACTACAATGTTCCAATTTTTTAGAATTATGTCCGACATAATTCTAATTTTTGCTGTTACAGCAGATAGTTATGGTGAAATGGCACGCAGGAATAAGTCATCCCTGTCCTCCAAAAAGCACATGAAAAGGTACTTGGTAAGCCATGTCTTTTCCAATATCAAATCCAATGTATCACAATCTGTGGACTTTTTACTCAAAAACTAGATTGATTAATTGATAATTCATTGCTGATTGTTCACGCGCCCTGTATGGAAGTATAAAAATGGTAATCCGCATACTCCAGGAAGAATTGAAGCAATCTCAAGAGAAAAGAAGGGAATCTGGATCCTTCGTCGGATCGTCACAGAGCCTTAGAGGGGAGCTCTACGCTTCACTGGCCATGCAAAGCAGGGAGAGTGACGGAGGCGGAGGCACTGCTGGCTGCTGGAGCGGACATTAACAAGCTGGACAGAGCGCAGTTGAACCCTTTCATGGACGCGATCAACTCAGGTAAATCATTTGACCGCCTTAACAATATGGGTTTATCTAACATTGGTAATAGTAGCAAGAGGTTTTAGTCATGCGTTTGATTACAGCACAGTGTGAAACCCTGAAGCATACGTCGAGCTCTAAACTCTGTTTTGTCTGATAATCAATTATTTGAATATTGAAGGATTAAATTTGGTAACTTGATGATCACATAATTAACAGGACAGGTCGACTGTGCTAGATGGCTGCTGAGGCAAGACGGTTGAAAGCTCCAGCCCGAGATATGGTCGTTTTGTAGGGAGAGGGGGCTAGAGTCAGTGCTAACAGCTTAACAGAAGGTAAAATCCTGAACTTTTGTTCATTGATTCTTTGAATCAATGAACAGATTCAAAGAATCAATGAACAATCGTTCAGATGTAAAAATTATTTATTCACTATTTTGCATTACATTTAGTTACAGGACTGACATGCGACATCCGTCGTTGACCTTTGTCTTTATTTCAGCAAGGTACGGAGAGCGATCCATGGCTGTCCCGATAGACCCACTCAGACTCCTGCCGGAAGATACTCCTCTGGTTGATCCAAATGAGACAGTTCTAGCAGATGATCAGTCACAGACTGAAGAACATATCCCACAGATCAATGCGTCAACATCTGCAAATGAAGGTACTTCAATCTGCTCTTCTTGTATATGTCTTTGTGCCTGCGTCTGTGATTGTACTGAAGTGTACTCTGTGTGTTTGTGCATGTGTCTGTCTTTGTATCGAGTGTGTGTCTCTGATTGTACTGCGTGTGTCTGTAATTGTAATGTAGTGTACTGAAGTGAACTATGTGTGTTTATGTGTGTGTGTCTGTGTGTGTATGTGTCTGTGTGTGTATGTGTCTGTGTGTGTATGTGTCTGTGTGTGTATGTGTCTGTGTGTGTTTGTGGGTGTGTTTGTGGGTGTGTGTGTATGTCTGTGTGTATAGACTGTGTCTGTCTGTGTGTCCGTCTGTGGCTGTGTGTGTCTGTGTTTATGCTGTGTCTGTGTGTCTATGTCTGTATGTGTTTGTGGGTGTGTGTATCTGTCTGTCTGTCTGTCTGTCTGTCTGTCTGTCTGTCTGTCTGTCTGTCTGTCTGTGTGTGTGTGAGTGAGTGTGTGTCTCTGTGCGTCTGTGTGTGTGTGTGTGTGTCTCTGTGCGTCTGTGTGTGTGTGTGTGTGTGTGTGTGTGTGTGTGTGTGTGTGTGTGTGTGTGTGTGTGTGTGTGTGTGTGTGTGTGTGTGTGTGTGTGTGTGTGTGTGTGTGTGTGTGTGTGTGTGTGTGTGTGTGTGTGTGTGTGTGTGTGTGTGTGTGTGTGTGTGTGTGTGTGTGTGTGTGTGTGTGTGTGTGTGTGTGTGTGTGTGTGTGTGTGTGTGTGTGTGTGTGTGTGTGTGTGTGTGTGTGTGTGTGTGTGTGTGTGTGTGTGTGTGTGTGTGTGTGTGTGTGTGTGTGTGTGTGTGTGTGTGTGTGTGTGTGTGTGTGTGTGTGTGTGTGTGTGTGTGTGTGTGTGTGTGTGTGTGTGTGTGTGTGTGTGTGTGTGTGTGTGTGTGTGTGTGTGTGTGTGTGTGTTCTTTCATAGAAGTTGTTATTTCCAAGATACGAAGTTCGAAAAGCTAGCATTTAGTAATAGACGAATTTTGCAGCTGATATCAGAATCGAAATGATGATGGTACTACACGAGATGCTCATGGAAAAGGTATCAGTTTGCTTTTCTCCTCCCACGAGCAGTACAAAGTGTGGGTTCAACTTTAATCTGATAGAAGATATCGTATGCGGAACCCAAGCCCGGCTATGTCTGTACATAATAACGAAAGAAACCGGTAAGTTTTTAATCATGTAAATGTTCGGCCGAACGTTTGCTTTCATTTTAGACTAGTGACGAAAATCAACAATCGTTTGCCAGTTTGGTTAGTAAAATCGACAAAAAATAGTCCATTCCCCAAGGCCATGATATTCGAATTCTGCCCGTTAAAATCGGCCACTCTGATTTTTATCATTGAACTTTGCATTGATGACATGTTCATTCTCTACAGGTTATGCTGCGAGGGCGTTTAGCTCGATAGATGTTGAAAATGCCCACAGCATTATAAATCATTTGGACCGCCGAGGGGTCCAAAACTCCTCAATCGAAGAGCTTAGTAGACATGTCAGCAACCTACAGAGACTTCAAATTCTCAGGAAAACCTCTCTAGGACGGTAATACATTAACTTGTTTAGTTAATAAATTTAATAAGTAGATTTTGAGTGATGATTACTCAATACTGATATCGAGGTACCATAAAAAGGGTATATAAACTTATCACTTATGCTTATATGCTTATACTCTTATACTATCAATGAATATCAAATCGCCTTCTCTAGTTATCAAACCTGGAACATAAATTAAATCTCGGCCTACAAGGACTATTCGATATTTACAACATACCGAGTGAATGTCTCAATCTTTTCAGGAAGCTTTATACTCCGACATCCACAATTTACCACGCCCCTGAGATCGACATTTAGGTCTTTCTGATAGATTGACTTCCAGCCAATTCGATCTATCGAAGCCGAGTGGGAAGAACAAAGAACTGAAACCCATGGTCGCAACGATGCTCCTCGCGGACAAGGGAGAGTTAGGGCCATCGGTGGTCACAAGACTGCAGAATATTTATTTTTTTAAGCGTTGAGGTTGTCACGAAAGCGTACTGTAACGGGACTGTATCAGATTTGAGTGATTTGATTTTGTGATTCGCAGTTCACGTGATTTTATTGTGATCTTAGACTGTAAAAACTATAAAGGTTCAAGTTGAACTATCGTCGCCATGATTATGTATTTTGGAACTGTTCACGTTGAAATTGCTTCGTTAATCAGCAGTCTTCCTTGGTTACCTTCTACTGTGTAATGCAGCTACGATCAACGATACTTAGCTAGTACATTCATATAAGTAACTGCACTGAGAAGAGTAAAAAATTTGAGCTTTGACGGAATAACATTTCCTTGTTTTTAGATACGGTTACTATTCTAGTGAGGGGTTCATAGCTGACCATTAAGGTCTTACTCACAATAATTTGTGCTCTGATATTGGCCGTACTGACTGCTGTTGAAAAAGCCACGCCATCAGATGCGCGTCACGAGAGTCCACCCCAGTAGACCCCACTACGTACAAAATTTGAAATTTTCCCAAAAACTTCTGACTAAGCTAGTTTGTTTTCAATAACTTTTGCAATATTAACAGTAGACCCTTAAAATTTTCACCAAATGTTTCCCTAGACACTAGTTCATCGTAACTGTGTCATAAAATTTTAATTTAGGGACCCAATTTTGTGTAAGACTCCGGTATCTGACGACCGGTCGCGGACGTGGTTATTGTAATGTCAACTTCTGTTGCACACTGAGCGAGCTATATTTTGAGAACAAAGATAAACTTTACACCAGGTGAAAGCTGAGACGTTTCTCTTTAAGATGATCACCTCACATTCTGTGTATCTGTGACATTGAGATAGTAACGATTCAAAACGTCAAGTTGAACAGGCTACAAAATACGCGCTGAATAAAAGTCCACCCCAGGAGTCCACCCCACGCGCGTAGGGTGATTAACCTGTCAAGGATAATACAACAGCTAGTTTTGTGATAAACTTAAAGAGTTGGTTTAATGATTACGGTATGTAGTTATTAACTTGTCAAGAATAATACTACAGCTAGTTTTATGATTGCCCCAATCGTGAGGCTACGAGTTGGACTTAAACAAGTGTTTAATATTAACTAGAGCAAGATTTCAATTTCTGAGGGTACCAGTGGCTGCGCCACTACACGGACCCACTACATAAATTACCTTTAAGTAAAAGGTTACGAATGGTAAACAAGATCTGTTGTCGGATACATAGTAAAACTTCAAAATAAAATATTCTCTTGTGTTTGAAGTTAGCCCCAATAGAATAAGCATGGCAGATTGAATACAATTTTCTTGCGATGAGGCGTGGAGACTGAAAAAGTTTCAAATTTTGTGGACGCCATTTTACAAATATTTTAAATTTAACTTAAAACTACAGGAGGTTGCATTCACAATGTAAAATCTTTTTTTAAAGATAGAACATTTAGATACTATACTTATAAGCTGTGCACGATTTATATTAACTATTATATAAGCTACGCACGATCCTGATATTGTAGTACCACAATAATATCATGTCACGTTTTAATGCCAATCTTTATATGCCATTAGTCAAGTTAAGGATAGTGCTAGTATCACAAATCTAGCTGTACCACTGGTAGATTTGTGATTAGCTCTGAAACTAAGGGTCGGTTTTATGATTTAACTATCAACTTTCCTATCTGTCAGCTCAGATGTAACGCAGTAGTCAAGAATATTACTACAGCTAGTTTTATCATTACTCCAGTGGTGAGGGTAGACCTCAGTTTTATGATTATATAGTTTAACCAATAAATATTAACTATTTGGATAGGTTTTTACCCCAGCGGTAAGATTCAGTTTAATAATATATTATTATATATATATATATTATAACTATTATCACCTTAATAACACCAGAATGTGTGTCTGTCTGATCGTCTGTGTGTCCGTGTGTAATTTCCGGTCGGTTATACAAAAAAAACGGTAAGAGTTACGGGACTGATTTTTCCGGTATAGTGCCGACAAAACTCTGACGAAGCCAATAAGCAAATTTTATAAAAATCGGCCGGTGGTAAGTGGCTTAATTGATGGTTTTGTACTATTAATGCAACATTATGGAGTGAGCCACTAAAATGGCTCACTTTTTCTTCCTATTCGCTCTCTTTGTAGCGTTGGTAATTAGGTTAGCTCCTCAAGTGATATTAGGAGTGTACTTGGGCACTGATTGTGGTCTTTTTAAACTGTAGAGAGAGTTCATACTTTCATACGACAATGTTTATGCATATCAGGGGGGGGGGGGGGGGGGGGGGAGGCACATATTGCGGTCAGTTTGTTTACTTTCATACGACAATGTAATACATGTTTTCAAATATAAGGCGGGTGTGGTGCGGAGTTAATAAGGGTTAATTTCTAAAACGATTTAAAGCGGTTTAAGACGGGAGTGATGAGGTGTAATAGTCGTGGTACAGATACTATTGGATACGTGAGGGAACTCCGAATGGAATTGCTCACTTAATGCGGGTTTTGACTCAGCGGATAATTACTCCTTCCCCTTTTTAACTGCGGCAGTGAAATCCCGGCCAAAGGCCGGGTTACACTAGTTATATTATATAACTATTCACAAGACGGGCAGTACACGGGAACACACTAAAACCTTACCATACACCCAATGACCAGTAGTGATAATGATTTGAAATGAATATAAGATTAAATAAGATGTGACATCATGTAATTTTCATGGCGAGCTATTAAATATGATATGGTTGTAAGGGTGTCCGAGCAATTTGGGAGCTCAACAGGTGATGACTGATTTTCACCTTGATCGTGGCGCTGTGGGACTTTGTCCTGTTTCGAAACGGAGAAACAGTAACAAAACAGTAACCAAACAGTAACCAAAAGCTTTGGAGTGCATAAAGTTTTGTGAGAGATTTACAGAAATTATACTTATTCTATTTTAGATTTTTCATCCATATTAATGTTTACATAAATAAAATATTGAGTGATCCCTGAAATATTGGCAGACAGGCAGTACCAGCTGAACAAGGGTAATTGCCATGGTGATCAGTGGAGCTCTCAAGTGTTAATTTACTAATTGCCATGGTGATCAGTGGAGCTCTCAAGTGTTAATTTACTAATTGCCATGGTGATCAGTGGAGCTCTAGTGTTAATTTGGTGAAGAAGTCCACCAGCTACACAGCTACAACCCCCGTCCCTGCTGGTGGGTCAGCTAGATCTCCTCCACTTCAATGGTGCTATTAACGCACTTTTCTCGTTACAACTTACAACCATGGTAAAGAATCTTGGCAATGATCCAGTAATTTTGCTATAATCTGATGGCTCATTTATTGAGCTCTGATCTTTAATAAAGATCAATTTGTCATATATAATGGCTCTATAGTCTATCTTCGTGCTCGTATTTTGTATTGTCATCAAATAGCACGAGATGATCTTATTATAATAAAATGTAAAATTGTAAGTTATGGCATGAAAAGAATTATTGAAAGTTCCATTCGGAAGGTAACTCCTTCTCCTTTCTGAGTAGATCATTAAACTTTGGTAGATTACAACTTGACAACTTCAAGGAAGGTTCCAGGCTTTTAGCAACAGTTTCACGTGTCAAAGTTCACAGCCATCCTGTCAATAGTGACAGCTGGGCAGTAATAATCTGAGGGGGATTGTTGCGAAATACTCCCTCACTCTCTTACATACTTCTAGCGAGAGGGAGAGAGAGAGGGAGAGAGGCAACATTATTAGGGCATATGTTGCTTACATAAGTTGTATATAAATGTGCTAGTTTCTGGGACTATGGAAACTCTTTCCTGCACAAAAATTTTGTTTGACGAATAATTTCCCAGATAATATTCCTAATGCCCTAACTATAACCACATAATAACCACAAAATAACCACTTTGTAACTCACCTCGTTATAGCACTCGCAAATGTGGCCGATCAGCCAGCCTCCGAAATGGCAAGAAATTGCCGCCGCCCATAGACCAGTGACTATAATCAGCAGAGGTTCGACCATTCCTGTCACGTGACACGTAGGATTAACCAACGTGGAGAACAGTTAACCACCGCATATAACCGCATATAACCGCATACAACGGCTACATAACGGCTATATAACCGCATATTACGGCTATACAATTACTATGTACCGGGTATGTAATTATATGCGGTGAGGTGAAGGTTACACTTTGGTCACGAGATTATCAAGCTATGAAAAAATAATCAAGATATCTTAAATTGTTTTCAACAACAAATAGTTCTGGAGTTGCATCTGGTATAATAACTGTTGGAACGAGTTCTTTATTGGAGTCGGCTCGGTGAGAGAAGAAGCGGTATTTAGGATTATTTAATGAAAACGGGATTTTTGTTAACGATTTTATTTACGTTATAATATCAAGAAAATGTAACCGGCAAAAGCTTAAATGTTGTAACTATTACAATTGTCGTTCAACATTGAAGATTTACGTAAATTGATCTTTAGGTGGAGTACTGAAAAAGTTTGCGGAGTATTGAGAACGTTTGCTTCGACCGAAAGTACCTTTTATCACGAAAACATTTTAACAAAAACGTGACGCAAAAAGAGAAAAAAAAATTCAGATACTGCTATTGTCCAATTTAACCGACCAAAAACTGTGCCATTGTCTAATGAGAGAGATGTTCATTCATCATGAAATGATATTATAATCAAAAAGCGATGATTTTACTTTTATCGACTGCTCTAATACTACTGAATTTAGATAATACTTGAACAATATAATCATCATCTAGAGGCGATTTTTAAAACGTCTGATAATATCAATTTAACATTAGAGCATTAGCTGGTCAAATGGAGCTAAAACTTCTTTTACAGCTTCAAATATATTATATAGCAGGAGA